TTTCTGATTGACAAGCTCAGCGTCTTAGCCACTGAGCCACCTAGCCAGGCTAGGTGGGAGGGAGAGGCCCCCACCCCACCGCAAAGTAACGGAGGAGCCAAAGTCACAACAGCGGGAAATTCAGAAACCAAAACTCATTTCTTCCATAAAACACCCTCTTCTGTGTAATGAGATACAAATAGTCCTTGATTTACAAGTAGTGGCCCAAATTGTGGAAACCTTTTGGGAAAAGTATATTTTGTAAAACTAGCTAAAAACACGACTTTTTTTTTGAAGGAGTACCGTAATATTATATATCAATGGAAAGATAATTTAATCAAGAATGTAATGCAAGAATGTAACGAAATCCCAATGGATTTATATACCGCTTCACAGTGCTTTCCAGCCCTCTCTAAGCAGTTTACAGACTCAGCCTCTGGCTCCCAATAATCTGGGTCCTCATTTTACAGACCTTGGAAGGATGGAAGGCTGAATCAACATAGGGCCTGGTGAAATTCGAACTCTTGGCTGTGGGCAGAGTTTGTCAGGAATTCTGCATTCTAAACACTGTGACGACACAGCTCCCTCCCTCCCTCCCTCCCTCCCTCCCTCCCTCCCTCCTTCCTTCCTTCCTTCCTTCCTTCCTTCCTTCCTTCCTTCCTTCCCAATAGACTTATATACCACTTCACACTGCTTTACAGCCCTCTCTAAGCGGTTTACAGAGTCAGCCTCTTGCCCCCAACAATCTGGGTCCTCGTTTTACTGACCTCAGAAGGACGGAAGGCTGAATCAACCTTGAGCCGGTCAGGATCGAACTGCTGGCTGTGGGCACAGTCAACCTGCAATCCTGCATTCTAACCACTGTGCCACCATGGCTCCTTCCTTCCTTCCTTCCTTCCTTCCTTCCTTCCTTCCTTCCTTCCTTCCTTCCTCCTTCCTTCCCTCCCTCCCTCCCTCCCTCCCTCCCTCCCTCCCTCTTCTTCTCACTCAACTTCCTTCCTTCCTGCCTGCCTACCTGCCTGCCTGCCTTCCCTTCCAATAGACTTATATACCGCTTTACAGTGCTTTTACAGCTCTCTCTAAGCGGTTTACAGAGTCAGCCTCTTGCCCCCAACCATCTGGATCCCCATTTTACCAACCTCAGGAAGGCTGAGTCAACCTTGAGCCGGTGAGGATCGAACTGCTGGCTGTGGGCAGAATCAATCTGCAATGCTGCATTCTAACCACTGAGCCACCATGGCTCGCTCCTCCCTCCCTTCCTTCCTTCCTTCCTTCCTTCCTTCCTTCCTTCCTTCCTTCCTTCCTTCCTTCCTTCCCAATAGACTTATATACCACTTCACACTGCTTTACAGCCCTCTCTAAGCGGTTGAGAGTCAGCCTCTTGCCCCCAACAATCTGGGTCCTCATTTTACCAACCTCAGGAAGGCTGAGTAAACCTTGAGCCAGTCAGGATCGAACTGCTGGCTGTGGGCAGAGTCAATCTGCAATGCTGCATTCTAACCGCTGAGCCACCATGGATCCATCCAGCTATCCATCCTTCCTTCCTTCCCTCCCTCCCTCTTCTTCTCACTCAACTAACTTCCTTCCTTCCTTCCTTCCTTCCTTCCTTCCTTCCTTCCTTCCTTCCTTCCTTCCTTCCTTCCTTCCTTCCTTCCTTCCTTCCTTCTTGCCTGCCTGCCTGCCTGCCTTCCCTCCCAATGGATTTATATACCGCTTCACAGTGCTTTCCAGCCCTCTCTAAGCGGTTTACAGAGTCAGCCTTTTGCCCCCAACAATCTGGGTCCTCATTTTACCGACCTCGGAAGGATGGAAGGCTGAGTCAGCCTTGAGCCAGTTCAGGATCGAACTGTTGGCAGTGGGCAGTGAATTAGCCTGCAATACTTCATTCTAACCACTGCACCACCATGGCTCCCTTCCTTCCTTCCTTCCTTCCTTCCTTCCTTCCTTCCTTCCTTCCTCTCTAAATGGTTTACAATATCAGCCTCTTGCCCCCAACCATCTGGGTCCTCATTTTACCGACCTTGGAAGAAGGAGCCTTGGTAGTACAGTGGTCTAAGGCACCCTGTTATTAAGCTGGTTATTAAGACCAGCTGCCTGCAATTACTGCAGGTTCGAATCTCGCCAAGGCTCAAGGTCGACTCAGCCTTCCATCCTTTCTAAGGTAGGTAAATTGAGGACCCAGTTGTGGGGGCAATAAGCTGACTTTGTATAAATATACAAAAGGATGAAGGCTATTGCTTAACGCATTGTAAGCCGTCCTGAGTCTCCGGAGAAGGGCGGCCTATAAATCAAATAAAATAAAAAAATAAAATAAAAAATAAATAAAGGAATGGAAAGCTGAGTCAACATGGAATTCTGGAAGTTGGAATTCAGACCTCTTAAGATTGAGAAACACTGTTCTAGATATTTGGAAGGAGATTGAATTAATGGTGCCACCAACCAGTTTACTATAGATGCAGGATTTGTTGGTTCAAAGGGCACCTTTAGACACTGTGCAAGCCTTCGATTGTGAAACTCACTGCTGACTTGGCACTGAGCCTCAGCCAGTTCTTGAAAAATCTTTTTTTCTGTCGTCGGTGACCAGAACTGGACACGCCGTTCCTATGTGATCTCACCAGCGCAGTATAAAGCGGTACGGGAAAGTCCTCGTCTTACGACCACCATCGAGCCCCAAATTTATGTTGCTAGGCGAGACGTTTGTGAAGTGAGTTTCGCGGGCCCCCGTTTTACGACTTTTCCTTTCACGGTTTGTTAAGCGAATCGCTGCAGTGGTTAAAACTAGCCTGTTTTAAGTGGATCTGGTTTTTATTTGAACTTTGCTTGCCGGAAGGTCGCTAAAAGGGGATCGCGTGGCGCTGCAACCGTCGTAAAGGTGAGTCAGTTTACAGAGCAGCCGAATGTAAACGGCGTGACCCGTGGAGGGGGGGGAGGGCTGCTGCGACGGTCGTAAGTGTGAAAAAGGGTCATAAGTCTTTTTTTTTCCCCCAGTGCTATTGTAACCTTACAGATGAACAGAGTTGGACGGGACCTTGGAGGTCAACTAGTCTAACCCCTTTGAACGGTCACTAAGGGAACTGTTGTAAGTCGAGGACTACCTGAATCAATCTTTATTCCGGTTGCTTCAATGAGTTGATTTGCAACGTTGGTTGCAAATGCTTCTCATGAAATCCAGCTGCGTCTGCTTCCGCCTTGGTCATTTCAGAATCAAACTTGTCCGCGAAATCAAATTGGTAATCTTTGACTCCCTCTTGTGATCAAAGAGGGAATCTTTTACTGTAGGCCGCAAACTTAAACAAATCTTCAAATTGTAATTTAGCCCATCTGGTTCTGTGGTTTCAGGTCTGAAATTGTGCCTGAGCCAATCCCGTTCCGTTAAAATCTAAAGCCATTATAGGTGGTCCTTGATTTACAACCAGGCGTGGGCTGCTGGGGGTTCGCAAGGATTCGGGAGAACCTCCAGCTAAGATTCTGTGCAGCTCAGAGATCCCCCCGCAAATCCCACACTCCTGGCTGGCCCCGCCCACCCTGCCCTGCCCCTCCCAGAAGTCCCCACACGGCCCGTTTTGGACGCAGGTAAGACCGTGCGGAAGCTCGGGGAGGGCAAAAAACGGGCCTACCGGAAGTTCGGGAAGGCTGGAAACAGGCCCGTTTCCGGCCTCCAGAGGGCCTCCGGAGCCTGGGGAGGTTGTTTTTGCCCTCCCGGAGACTTGAGGAAAGCCTCCGGAGCCCGGGGAGGGTAAAAACAACCCCCCCACTGCTGTGGTGCAGGAGGCCGGCTAGGCCACACCCACCATGGCCACGCCCACCCAGCAACCAGGCAGAGAACCAGTTGCTAAAATTTTTGAAGCCCACCCCAGTTTACAACCATTCATTTTGTGTCCGTTCAAAGTTACAACGGCACTGAAAAAAGTGACTCATGATCGTTTTCGCGCTTACGACCATCGCAGTATCCCTGTGGTCACATGATCAAAATTCAAACGCTTGGCCACTGGCCTGTATTTATGGCGGTGTCCTCGGGTTACGTGATTTCCCCTTTAAGGACCTTCCGGCAAGAAAAGTCAACGGGGAAGCCAGATTCACTTAACTGCCGTGTTACTAACTGAACGACTGCAGTCATTCATTTAACAACCGTGGAAAGAGGGGGCGTAAAAGGGGGCAAAACTCTCTTAGGAACTGTCTCGCTTAGCAACAGAAATTTGGGGCTCAATTGTGGCCGTAAGCCGAATTTTTGAGAGGCTGCCACAAAGAAGGGGGGGGTTCAATTTATTTACCAAAGCACCTGAAAGTAGGACAAGAAACAATGGATGGAAACTAATGAAGGAGAGAAGCCACCTGGAATTAAGGAGGAATTTCCTAACAGTGAGGACAATTAACCATTGGAACAGCTTGCCACCAGAAGTTGTGAGTGCTTCATCACTGGAAGCTACTAAGAAGATACTTGTCTGAAATGGTATAGGGCAGTGATAACTAACCTCTTTGCCATCATGTGCCAAAAGTGGAGGCAGGGCGGGGGGAGTCACGTGCGCGCATGCCCACACCCATAATTCACTGCAGCCTGCCCGCCCCCCACGTATACATGCATGACCCCCCTTCACGCTCCCACACTTTTGGCACGTGATGGCATGGTGGACCCGGTAAGCCCATTTTTCACCTTCCCCAGGCCTCAGAACCTTTCTAGGAGCCTGGGGAGGGCGAAAATGGACTTACCCACCCACCCGGAGGTCCTCTGGAGGCCGGAAACAGCTTGTTTCCTGACTTCTGGTGGGCCCGGAAGCCCCGAAAATCAGCTGGCGGAGCTGAGCTAGGGCAACGCTCGCGTGCCCACCGATATTACTCCGCGTGGCACCTGTGGCCCACATGCTATAGGTTCACCATCACGAGTATAGGGTCTCCTGCTTAAGCAGGGGGCTGGACTAGAAGACCTCCAAGGTCCCTTCCGGCTCTATTCGGACTCTGATTACCCGTAATTCTGTATCGGGATGAAAGAACTAAATTACATTTCCTGAATATAGAAAAGAAACACCTTTTTTTTTTCTTTATTTACTAGTTTCCTACATTTACCCCCCCCCCCAGGACTCTTGTTCAACAAGGCAACAACTTCCGGGGGTGATTTGGGGACAGGATGTCCTATACCTAGTTAAAGAAGTCGTAAATGTCAGCGATCAGTTCTCAGGCAATAAGAGTTGATCAGGAAGGGGACCAGGTTTGAAAATCCCAGACCAACCATTAAAGCCACCAACACCCAAGCTCCTCCGGATAAGACCGAAAACAGAGTGTTTTGCAACGGTTGCCCCAGTCGATCCTCCAGAAAAAGGATCTCCTTGTCTTGAGCCTTGCAGATCCCTTCGAGCTCCACCATCATGCGTTCCAGCTCGGCGGACTGCTTCTTCCTCTCCTCGTACCTCCGCCTGGCCGTCTCGATTTTCGCTTCCACCCGTTGAACGTCCGCCACAATTTTCTCCACCTCCTCCTTCATACGCAAAATATCCTGATCCCGGCTAACCTTGGAGGCCTGAAACCTGATTAGGTTGTTGGAGACCTTCTGGATTTTGGAATGGAGCATCTGGTTGGTCTGGGACAAGGTCTGGTTTTGGATCTCCAGAGTTGCCTTCGTGTCGTCCAGTTCTCGGAACATCTCCTGAAATTCTTTCTCTTCCTTTGCCAGACAACTGATTTGGCCTTCCGGGCTCCTCTTTTGCTCATTCATGATTGTATTCTTGATAATTTCTGGGTTTTCTGCCTCAAGGTTGGACACTTTGACTCTTAAGTTCCTGATCTCCTTCTTTAAGCTTTCTCGGCTGTCCCTCAGAAGGGATGCTGCAGTTTTCATCATGGTCTTGGGGTGAAAGTGATCGGTTTCCGGCACTGTTCTCTGCTGATGAACAAGCAAAGTTAGAATATGTAAGTAAACTCTTCACTTTCACAACAGGTGGACAGATTTAAACCATAGCTTCAATAGGATAGGATAGGATAGGATAGGATAGGATAGGATAGGATAGGATAGGATAGGATAGGATAGGATAGGATAGGATAGAAAAAAAAAGAAATTTAGAATAGAATAGGATAGAATAGAATAGAATGGAATAGAATAGAATAGAATAGAAGAGAATAGAATAGGGAATGTGGAATGGAATGGAATGGAATGGAATGGAATGGAATGGAATGGAATGGAATGGAATAGAATAGAATAGAATAGAATGAAGAGGGAATAGAATAGAATAGAAAAGAAATGAATAGAATAGAAAAGAAAAGAAAAGAAAAGAAAGAAAAGAAAAGAAAAGAAAGAAAAGAAAAGAAAAGAAAAGAAAAAAGAAAAGAAATTAATAGAATAGAATGGACTGGACTGGACTTGACTGGACAAGAATAGAATAGAATAGAATAGAATAGAATAGAATAGAATAGAATAGAATAGAATAGAATAGAATAGAATTGAATTGAATTGAATTGAATTGAATTGAAATTAATAGAATGGACTAGACTAGACTAGACTAGAATAGAATAGAATAGAACAGAATAGAAATTAAAGAGAAATTAAATCGACACGCAATTCAGAATTCAGCATCAGTGCCTCATCCTAGGTTCCGGATGAGAAGATGCTTGTTTATTGTCGGGCTTAGAGAAACCATCATGCCGGCTACTCACTGAAGGATCCTCCGTTCCCGCGAGAGAAACAGTCTCTGCCAAATAGCCCAGCATCAACTAGGGATGTCAGAAACCACCTGACAGGTGAGGCCACAATCCACAGCCAATCTCCAGCCAATCAGGATCTTTTATGGGCTGCATCCTTCCCAAATGGATTGACATTCAGAGAGAGAGCATCCTGTGAAGCAGGGGTGGGTTGTACTTACCTTTACTACCAGTTTACTTGCCTTTACTACTTACCTTTACTACCAGGTCCCTTCCAACTCTTGTTAATCTCAGGGGTGAAATGTAAAATGTGTTACTACCAGTTCTGTGGGCGTGGCTTGGTGGGGGGGGATAATGTGACTGGGTGGGTGTGGCCAACTTTTTAAAAAAAAAACTTTTCAAAGCATTTTTTCTAATGCTTTGAAAAGCCTCTGGCGATCAGGAAACTCAGCTGGGATCGTCAGAGACTTTTCAAAGCATTTTTTTTACCACCTCTTCGGCCAAGAGGTTGCAGAAAAAAAATGCTTTGAAAAAAAACCTCTGAGGATGCCAGCTGAGCCGCGCGATCATCAGAGGCTTTTTTTTTCTTTACTTTTAAAAGCATTTTTTCGTCAAAGAGGTTGTAGAAAAAATGCATTTAAAAGTAAAAAAAAAAAGCCTCTGGTGATCGGGCGGCTCAGCTGAACATGGGGGGGGGGCGGGGAAGGGATTTTTGCTACCGGTTCTCCGAACCACCTGCCGCCATCGCTACCGGTTCGGGAGATCCGGTCTGAACCGGGAGCATTTCACCCCTGGTTAATCTGTTATTCTGTCGTTGTTATTCTGAATTTGTGGAGCCTCCTTAAAAAGGGAGCCCCCTACAGGCTCACAAGAAGAACTACATGTTTGCAGAATAGCAAATGCTTCCCTTGAGGTTGCAGGCTGTCTAGGAAGGATGAGCCTTGCATTGCAATGTATCGGCAGTGAAGGAAGTCACCCCTCCTAGAAGAATGAAATATTTTGAGAAATATTTAAAAAGGCAGAATATTATATTTCCCTACAGGAGAAATGTGTTTCTAAAGACAGAAAGCAGCTCCCTGCTCCGGGCAGATATTTGGTGCCCATTAAGAAAGACTGGGCCAACCTATCTACAAGACAAAAGACCGCCAGCTCCAGGGTGATGAGATTAAGCTATGACCCTCCAGGACCTAATAGGATTATCTAGCAGATAATACAGAGCTCACTGTATTGCACACTCTTCTAAGGACATTGCATCACCTGGCAAACTTCAAACAAACTTGATTCAGACAAACATGACCCCTACATGGCTCCATGGGAGTTTGACAACAGTTACCAAGAGCCCTGGTAGCACAGCAGACTAAAGCACTGTTATTAACGTCAGCTGCCTGCAATTAAAGTAAGATCGAATCTCACCAGGCTCAAGGTTGACTCAGCCTTCCATCCTTTCTAAGGTAGGTAAAATGAGGACCCAGATTGTGGGGGCAATAAGCTGACTTTGTATAAAATATACAAAAGTATGAAGGCTATTGCTTAACGCATTGTAAGCCGCCCTGAGTCTCCGGAGAAGGGCGGCATATAAATAAAAAAAAATAAAAATAAAAATAAATAGAATACATGTCCTTGCACAGGAACAGGAAGCTCAAGTGCAAAGCCCAAGAGAAGGTATACCCCTCATTCTCCACTCCAATAAAGAATTCTGTTCTATTCTATTCTATTCTATTCTATTCTATTCTATTCTATTCTATTCCTTCGTTCCATTTTTCTATTCTATTCTATTCTATTCTATTCTATTCTATTCTATTCTATTCTATTCTATTCTATTCTATTCTATTCTATTCCATTCCATTCTATTCCATTCCATTCCATTCCATTCTATTTTATTCTATTCTTAATGAAGAATTCATGTACTGTTGATTTGGAAACCCAGATGTAGATAAAAAGCCAAGTTAGTTCTGAGACAGCACCAAAGATTTGAAGTGAGGAATCCTTTATTGGAACCAAAGAAATATATGAAATTTCCTGTAGATAGAAAGCGGATGGGATCGTTATTCCACATCTAGTAGTTTTCCCACAGGACTCTGGCTCCAAAGGGCCGCAAGCCACTCTGCCTTTGGCCAGGATAGATGGACAGGATCTTGGACAGCCACTGGAGACATTCAGTCAAGGTCACCATCGCTTCCCAGGCGCCAAATCTTTGCCAGACCGGACGAGCAAGAGGTGTGAAAATTCCAGGCCAAGCATCATCACCACCACCATCTTCTCCTGCATAGAAGGTCTCAGGTCTCCAAAGTCCTCCTCCTGCTTGGCCTTCTTCCTTCTCTTACAGCAAGGAGTCCATCTCCAACCTTCTGAAGGAGAACTGCTCAAACCGTTCTTCCAGAGAGAGGATCTTGTTTTCCTGCGCCTCGCAGATCTTTTCAAGATCGAGCACCATGCGTTCCACCTCCGCGGACTCCTTCTTCTCCTCATATTGTTGCTTGTCCTTCACGATTTTCGCCTCCAACTCTTTCAAGTATCTCAGGATTTGCTCCGTCTCTCGCTTGATACGCGAAATAGCCCGGTCCTGACTAGCTCTGGATTCTTGAAATTTGACAAGTTGTATGGAGGCCTTCTTGATTTCGGAACGGAGAGTTTTGTTGGCCTCAAATAATATCTGGTTTCGGGCCTCCAGGGTTGCCACGGTGTCGTCCCGTTCTCGGAGCATCTTCTGAAGTTCTTTCTTCTCCTGTTCCCAGTCCTTCACCATGACTTTGAAAACAATGGGTTTTTTGGGGTCTTCCAAGCTTTTTTTCGAATGCTCTCAAGGTCCTTCGGGTTTTCCTCGTTTGGGAGAATGTTCACCTTTGGAAAAATGTCAGTTAAAAGAAGTTAAATCAACACGTTATTCTGAATTGGGTTAAAGCATCATCCAAGCTTGTTTATTATGGGGATTAGAGAAACCATCGTTTTGCCATCGAGTTGGAAGGGACCTCGTAGGTCTTCTAGTCCACCCCCACACCCAAGCAGGAGACCCTACATCATTTCTGACAGATGGCAGTCCAGTTTCTTCTTGAAAGCCTCCAGTGATGAAGCTCCCACAACTTCTGAAGGCAACTTCTGTTCCATGGGTTGATTGTTCTCTCTGTCAGAAAATTTATCCTCATTTCTAGGTTGAATCTCTCCTTGATCAGTTTCCTTCCGTTATTCCTTGTCTGGCCTTCGGGTGCCTTGGAGAATAGCTTGACCCCCTTCCTCCTCTCTGTGGCAGCCCTTCAAATATGGGAAGTCTGCTATCCTGTCTCCCCTGGTCCTTCTCTTCACTAGACTAGCCATGCTCAGTTCCTGCAACCGTTCATCGTATGTTTTAGCCTCCAGTCCCCTCATCATCCTGGTTGCTCTTCTCTGTACTCTTTCTAGAATCTCCACGTCTTTTTTTATAACGTGGTGACCAAAACTTGGGAGCAATATTCTAGGTGTGTATCTTACTAAGGCTTTAGCAATAGCAACACTTAGACTTATATACCGCTTCATAGTGCTTTTACAGCCCTCTCTAAGCGGTTTACAGAGTCAGCCTCTTGTCCCCCAACAACCTCATTTTACCGACCTCGGAAGGACAGAAGGCTGAGTCAACCTTGAGCCTGGTGAGATTCGAACTACCAAATTGCAGGCAGCCTGCAGTACCACACTCTAACCACTGCGCCATTATAGCCTTACTTACCAAAGGCTCATCAATTCCCACAAGAGAAATGGCCTCTGCCAAACAGCCCAGCATCGACCAGAACTGAGTTCGAGCCCAACTGTCAGAAACTGCCTCTCAGGTGATGTCACACAATCCACACAATCTCCAGCCAATCAGAGTCCTTTTATGGACCGTATTTTTTTATTATTATTATAAATTTTTTATTTTCGAAAAACAAAACACAATATTAAAAACCATTATCATTCCATACAATCAAAGACGGTGTAACAGTCGGTGGCATTTTTTTGAGCTCCTCCTCTCTTCAGTTTATCACTAAACATGCTAACTTATTTTCAAAAAATTTCAACATTTATTTTATTTATTTATTTATTTTATTGGATTTCTATACCGCCCTACTCCCGAAGGACTCAGGGCGGTGAACAGCCACAGAATAAAACACATAAATACAAAAATTTAAAATAGAATAAAAACGAATTAAATAATTTGGCGGAGACAAATTTAAAATACCCAATAATTTCAAAACAAATTAAAATTTACATTTTAAAAGGGGAGAAGATTTAGGCCAGGCCAGCTTGATAAAAGAAGAAAGTGTTGAGTCTTGAACATCCATTTATATCATAATTATTTCCAATTCTTATTCTCTATCCATTGATAAAATAAATCCCATATCAAATAATATTGTCTGTCTTCCTGTTCTCTTATTTCAAAGGTCAATCTGCTCATTTCAGCACATTCCATCATTTTCTTAATAATTTCTTCATCATTAGGTAATTTTTCTCCTTCCCAGTTTTTAGCAAATACAATTCTGGCTGCTGTCAAAGAGATTCACGATTAAATATTGCAGTTCTTTATTGTATATCTCTGGTACGATCCCTAAAAAATATCTCTGGTTTAAAATCAATATGTCTCTTCATCATTTTTTCCAACCCCTTGTGTATCTTAGTCCAATATCTCCTTGTTTCTACGCATGTCCATCACATGTGGTAGTAGGATCCTGGGGTCTGATGACATTTCCAACATTTCTCCGATTTATTCTGGAACATTCTATGGACCGTATTCTTCACCCATCACGCAGGGGAGACACATTCACACACACGGTAGAGGAAAGGGTGTAACATCTCATTGCAAAGTCTCTACGACCACAATTGTGCCCAACATTTCCACTGCTAAGCAAGAACGTCGTTAAGTGAGTTTTGCTCCCGTTTAATGACACTTCTTGCCACAATCGTTAAGCAAATCGCTGCAGTTGTTAAGTCAGTCACATGGTTGTTAAGTGAATCTTTCCCTGATGATTTTGCTGGTCAGAAGGTGGCAAAAGGGAATTACTCAGGGGTGACATGCCCCCGGTTCGGACCGGATCGACCAATCCGGTAGTGATGGTGGCGGGTGGTTCAGAGAACCGGTAGCAAAAATCCCTGCCCCCCCAAAAGCCTCTGATGATCCCAGCTGAGTTGCCAGATCGTCAGAGGCTTTTAAAAGCATTTTTTCTACAACCTTTTCGGCCGAAGAGGTTGTAGAAAACCTCTTTTTTTTACTTAAAAGTTAAAAAAAAATTGGCCACGCCCACCCCATCACATTACCCCCCCTCCAAGCCACGCCCACAGAACCGGTAGTAACAAATTTTACATTTCCCCACTGGAATTACTGCAACCATCATAAATATGAATCGGTTGCCAAGCATCTAAATTTTGATCACCTGACCAGGGGGATCCTGCAATGGTCGTAATGTACGAAGAACAGCCGTAAAGTCCCTTTTTTCCGGGCCATTGTAACTTTGAATGGTCACTAAACAAATGATTATAAGTCCAGGAGTACAGTGGTCAGAGGTGGGCTGCGGGGGGGTTGGCAGGGGTTCGGGAGAACCTCTAGCTAAGATTCTGTGCAGTATGGAGAACCCTCAGATCCCACTCCTGGCTGGCCCTGCCCCTCCCACCCTGCCCCGCCCCTCCCAGGAGTCCCCATGTGGCCCATTTTGGATGCAGGTATGTGCAAGGTGCACGCAGAGGCTCAAGGAAGGTGAAAAACGAGCCTACCGGAAGTTCAGGAAGGCCAGAAACGGGTCAGTTTCCAGCCTCTGGAGCCTGGGGAGGCCATTTTCACCCTTCCAGAGGCTCGAGGAAAGCCTCCGGAGCCTGGGAAGGGCAAAAAAACCCCACCCCAGTCCCCGCTGTGGTACAGGAGGCTGACTAGGACACGCCCACCATGGCCACACCCACCGAGCAACCGGGCAGAGAACCCCTTGCTAAAAATTTTAAAGCCTACCCCTGAATGTGTCCTTGTTTTTTTTTTTTAATTGCAAAAGTTTTACAATTACATTTTCACCCCATTTTCCCCCCCATCCCACCCCCCACGTCCCACCCTAACCCCCCCAACCCCCCTAACCCTCCCCCCTGACTTCCACAAAATATAATCCCATCAAAATCCCCTTTTTATAAAACTTGAACCCCTCAAACCCCCTTAAAATGAATGTGTCCTTGTTGACATTGGTAGCAGTGGTGGGTTCCTCCCGGTTTGGTCCGGTTCGGCCGAGCCGGTAGCGGTGACGATATGATAGTTGTAACCTGCCTGGTGCTATGCCGTTCTATTTAGCCGTGTTTTTTAAGCCGCACGCATGCGTACAAGCTCACGCACGAGCAAAACGCATGCACAGGAGACCACGCGCATTTGCGGAAGGCATGCGAGTGATGCGAGCGTTGTGAGCACATGCGCTCACTTTTCGATGCCGGGGCGAACCAGTTGTTAATTCATGTGCTGCCCACCTCTGAAGGAGCACCTGTATAACATTTTACTTTTCACCTATTGGTTCTTGTCGTACCTTCAGGGTTTACAAAGAATAAATCTGTTTTCTCTTGCTTGAGATGTCCCCTGTCTCATGTCTCCCACCGTCAACCCTGAAGTGAGCCTGGCCGAAGCCATCTTGGATTGCTCCAGGATTGCCACACCCCGGTGGAAACGGGAGAAAATAATTAGATGGGGTTTTGTCGCCAAAACAATAAATGTTTTCCTGTGGGAACCAAGGTCATTCTTACAAGTGGCTGGCCAGAGGAGGAGCCAGTAACCAAGCGACTGGACAGCACTTGGATTGGACAGCGTGATCAGTGACTTGGGGTCGTGCGGGAAAAGGGAAACTTTTAATCAAGTGAAAGCTGCGTGAAATTTCAGAGTCGGCTTTCACCAATTGTGCCATGGGATGTATCCAATAAACCAGAAGTCTTCAAACTTGGCAGCTTTAAGATTTGTGGACTTCAACTCCCAGAATTCTCCAGCCAGCTGGAGAATTCTGGGAGTTTATTTATTTATTTATTTATTGGTTTGATTTATATACCACCCTTCTCTGAAGACTCAGGGCGGCTTACAATGCATTAAGCAATAGCCTTCATACTTTTGTATATACTTGCTTAGTAGGGCTTTCCGAGCCCCCCTAAGCGATGTTCTTTTTTATACAAAGTCAATTTATTTCCCCCACAATCCGGGTCCTCATTTTACCTACCTGGGAAGGATGGAAGGCTGAGTCAACCTTGAGCCTGGTGAGATTTGAACTCGCAGTAATTGCAGGCAGCTGGCAGCTAAGTGCTACTTAACAGCACTTTAGTCCGCTGCACCACCAAGGTTCTGAGTTGAAGTCCACAAGTCTTAAAGCTGCCAAGTTTGAAGACCTCTGCAATAAACTGTTCTTTGAAGAACTCGCCTGCCTCGGAGTTCTGTTTTCTATGGGTGCGTTCCTTGGAACGCTGACATTGTCTTCTTCTCAAATCATTGTCACCATGCTTGGTAGGTCCAGCTGGACCAGTTCCAAGAGGTTGGGCCGTCAAGATGACTCAAGCCTGCCACTCCTTCCTTGTTCCAAGTTGCGTCCAAGAGAAATTCCAGGCGGTCTTGTGAAGTGAGTACAGCACATCTGGAATGTCTTGTTTTCCCCTCTCCTCCCGATTCTCTCCACAGTAGGACCACCACAGAACTTGAGATTCAAGCACAGGTAGTCCTCGATTTACGACCACAATTCAGCCCAAAATTTATGTTGAGACATTTGTCAAGTGAGTTTTGCCCCGTTTTACAACCTTTTTTTGCCGGTTATTAAGTGAATAACTGCCATTGATAAGCAAGCAATCCGGTCATTAAGTGAATCTGGCTTCCCCCATTGACTTTGCTTGTCAGAAGGCCGCAAAAGGGGATCATGTGACCCTGGGACACTGCAACCGTTATGAGTCAGTTGCCAATGTCTAAATTTCAATCATGTGCCCATGATCTGCAATGGGATATTGCAATGGTCGTTAAGTGTGAAAAATAGTCCTAAGCCACTTTTTTCAGTGCCATTGTGACTGAATGGTCACTAAATGAACTGTTGTGAGTCGAGGTCTACCTGAACACTGTTTTTCTCCAATCCTTTTAGCCCCTTCTCTGGTTTCACCTCTGTCCCTATGATTCCCACTCCAGAACAGGTCCTTCAATCGTAGCTTCTGGGTTTGTGCCTCGATCTAACAACACAAGTTCCACATTCAGATGAAATATGTATTTGGGCAGGGTCACAGACTAATAGAAATTGCTGTTGTATGCACAGAACGTTTTACGTAACCCTAGTGGCTAAGACACTGAGCTTGTCGATCGAAAGGTCGGCAGTTCAGCGGTTCGAATCCCTAGTGCCGCGTAATGGGATGAGCTCCCGTTACCTGTCCCAGCTTCTGCCAACCTAGCAGTTCGAAAGCAGGTAAAAAATGCAAGTAGAAAAATAGGGACCACCTTTGGTGGGAAGGGAACAGCGTTCCGTGCGCCTTTGGCGTTGAGTCATGCCGGCCACATGACCACGGAGACGTTTTTGGACAGCGCTGGCTCTTCGGCTTTGAAACGGAGATGAGCACCGCCCCCTAGAGTCGGGAACGACTAGCACATATGTGCGAGGGGAACCTTTACCTTTAGATGTTAAGAGAGGTGCGATGGTGCTGCTGTTAAAAGACGCTGAGCTTGTCAGCTAGAGATCCGACAGCCCAAGTCCGAGACCCGAGCATCACATTACAGGGTGAGCTGCCGTCCCTTATTCCAGCTCCTGCCCACCTAGCAGTTTGAAAGCATGCAAAGGTGAGTAGATAAATAGGTACCACTTTGGTAGGAAGTTCACAGCATTCCGTATAGCCATGCTAGCTACATGACTACAGAAATTGTTTTCGGACAGTGCTGGTTCCTTCGGCTAAGAAACGGAGATCAGCACCGTCCGCTAGAATCGGATACGACTGGACAAGGAAATCTTTTAGATATTCTTATCTTCTTTTGTTGCCATGTTAAATTTATATTTTCTGAGCTTGGATGTTTTCTTGCAGGAGAGAGCACCAAGGACCCCTTATTTCATCCCTGAGCTACAAATACTCTTTGTTATAGTTTTATGGAGATAGTCCTCATTTTATGGTTGCTTATGACTTTAGAACCTACCTGAGGGATACATACAACCCAGATTAGAAGTTTCATACCCCCCCGTCACATGATCGATTTTTGGGTCCTTGGCAACCAGTATTTATGGCCGTTTGCAGCGTTCAACAAAACCACACCCATACCAAATAATTGGCTTGCTTAAGGACTGCGATGTTTGTTTTCACAACTGTGGCATTTAGTACATTTAGTATGGTGGCGCAGTGGTTAGAGTGCGGTACTGCAGGCTACTTCTGCTGACTGCCAGCAGTTTGGCAGTTCGAGTCTCACCGGCTCAAGGTTGACTCAACCTTCCGTCCTTCCGTGGTCGGTAAAATGAGGAGCCAGATTGTTGTGGGAAAGAGGCTGACTCTGTAAACTGCTTAGAAAGGGCTGGAAAGCACTGTGAAGCGGTATATAAGTCTAAGTGCTATTGCCCTTCCTTTCTCCTTCCCCCTCTCCTCTTGCTTTCCTCCTCCTTCCTCTTCCACTTCCTCTCTTCCTTCCTCCTTCTCCCCTCCGCTCCTTCCTTCCCTTTCCTTCTCCTTCCTCTTCTTTCCCCACTTCCTCCTCCTGTTGGTGTGGTGGCACAGTGGTTGGGATGCAGTACTGGAGGCCGACTCTGTCCACTGCCAGCAGTTCGATCCTGACCGGCTCAAAATTGACTCAGCCTTCCGAGCTTGGTAAAATGAAGACCCAGATTGTTGAGGGCAATAGGCTGATATAATAAACCACTTAGAGAGGGAGGAGAGGGGAGGGGAGGGGAGGGGAGGGAGGGAGGAAGGAATAGAATAGAATAATAGTGGAATGAATAGAATAGAATAGAATAGAATAGAATAGAATAGAATAGAATAGAATAGTGAAATGAAATGAAATGATAGAATAGAATGTGAAATGAAATGAAATGAATAGAATAGAATAGAACAGAACAGAACAATAGTGAAATGAAATGAATAGAATAGTGAAGTGAAATGAAATGAAATGAATAGAACAGAACAGAACAGAACAGAACAGAACAGAACAAAATAGTGAAATGGAATGAAACGAATAGAACAGAATAATTGTGAAATGAAATGAAATGAAATGAATAGAATAGAATAGAAATAGAATAACAGAGTTGGAAGGGACCTTGGAGGTCTTCTAGTCCAACCCTCTGCCCAGGCAGGAAACCCAACACCACTTCAGACAAATGGTTCTCCAATCTCTTCTTAAAAACTTCCAGTGTTGGAGCATTTACAACTTCTGGAGGCAAGTCGTTCCACTGATTAATTGTTCTGTTGTCAGGAAATTCCTCCTTAGTTCTAAGTTGCTTCTTTTGGTTGGGTCAAAACCTGTGTTGAGCTGGTTTTTCCATGCATTTATATGCTTTTCGCCTTCTGACAATCTCACCTTTTTTTTTTTTTACAAAGCAAATCAGTGTGAAACACCCAGGATCTAGTTTATTCAAAACTTGCTGATTTCACCTCCATCGTTTTCATAGCGCACAAATTTAAAAACTTTTTCTTACACACAGAGACAGTCTATGCTGATGCGCTCACTCGTAGCTGGGCCTGGACAGACTGAGTTCTCAGTTGCCCAGATAAACCAGTCTTGATATGCCGAATTTTGCAAATTTGCAAATGGGAAACCATGTGATTCTTTATCAAGGGCATCAAAGAAATACCCCCAAAAAATCCAAGCCGTTCTTAGAGTTTGTGTAATCTTATTTCTTAAATTAAGAGCCGGATGAGCAAATTGCTGTACTGTTTAATCCGAGATCATATAAACCATAGCAGCTTCCCCACCCCACCCCAATCCAGTCCCTTTCCAGCTGTTCTGGACTTCAACTCCCAGAATCCCTCTGGCCAAGAGGGGGATTCTGGGAACGGAAGTTCTGATTCATCTGGAAAGTCCTGTTTTAAGTTATTAACCAACCAGGCAAGATTAGGCAGTCCTAAACTGCAGGTTAAGATGGGAAAAGAGCCGCAGGGATTTAATCAGAGGACAATTTGTTTCTCATACACACACACACACACATACACACATTGGTGTGTAAAGACACGTACACTCACACAAAACATGTTGCATGATCATCACCGAGTAATTAATCTTCCAAAAAGGGACGAGGAGGGGGAGGCGATCATGGTATTCATCCTAACTACTTCAATCTTCTTTGACGCATGCAAACTTTGTCCAAACATCCAGTGGTTGAGGGGGAAAAAAAAATCCACCTCTTTTCCCCCTGCAATTATAAAAACAGTCTACGTTTTTCTTTGCCTGCCCTAGTTTTTCAAGTAATCCAAACAAATTTTCAGTAGTTTTAAGAATTAGGCTCTCCGAGACAACGCCTAAAAGAGAACGGCATCTCGCTTAGGGAAAAACGTCTTCTAAAAAGTTTCTGCGGAATATTATTTCTCTCTTCCGTTCTGAAAATCCGTATGTTAAAAGATCAAAGAGGTCTGCAGGGTTTGTTCGGCAACAACGCAACGGTTGTGTGATTAGCCAGGCTTTTCACGGGAGTCTTGCAAGAAAGGCAGAGCTCCTAAGCTCAGAGTTACTCCGGAGTTACTCCGTGCGGTACGTCTTGTTTCTGGATCCTCCGTCCGAATTTCATGATTTCAAGTCACCAGAAGAAGAAGAAAAAATTAAAAATGTTTAAAAGGCATTTCTGCAACAGGGCAGACATCCCGAAAGAGGAACTTTTTAAAAATGAGTCTTCTTAAAAAAAAAAAAAGAAGAAGGAAAGAAAGAAAAAAAAAACCCCAAAAGGATAAAAACCAAAAATTGTTCGCAGAAGGATTTCGGAAACAGCTGGTGTGGTCTTTTTTTGTTTTTTCCCCTCAGTGGTTGTTCTTGGTGGCCTCTTTCGCTGCAACGATCAGAGGGGTGAGGCTGGAGAGGGGCTTGGCAATTTTCAGGAACTGGTGCTAGAAAAGAGGGAGAGAAAGGCAGACATGGGAAAACAGCAAGATGGATAAAAATCAATGATTTTTTTTAAAAAAAATCAAAAAATCAGATTTTTTGATTTAAATTGGATTTTTTTTATTTAAATCGGATTTTTTTGATTTAAATCAAATTTATTCTAATAAAAAACTTTTGGGGTAAAAATCTATCGTAAGATAGTTTTCTATTTAAGATACATAAATAATTTAGTTTATTCAGCATGAAATGGAGCTTAGTTATGTAGCAGGAGGCTGTATATTCCTCAACACTGGGACTGAGTCAACAGTGGGTCAAAGGAGTAGCAGAGATGACAGTTGCTCTTTAACAATTACGATTTCAATCGAGTTGATTTAAATCAAACCTTTTTACTAGTGATTTAAATCATGATTTAAATTGTGATTTAAATCAACTCGATTTAAATCAAATCCACCCTGGAAAACTGTCACAACTTTTGTGATATTGATAGACAGAAAGAAAGGTGCATCTTATTTATGAAGTTGCTGCGTTGCTATTTAGAAAACTGAATAGAATGGGAATAGGGAGCAGAGTAGAGTAGAATATAGAATAAGAATAGAATTCAGAATGAATAGAACAGAATAGAAAATAAGAATAGAATAAGAAATAAGAATAAAATGGAATGGACTGGAATAGAATAGAATATAGAAAATAGAATAGAAATAGAAAGAATAGAATAGAATATAGAAAATAGAATAGAAATAGAAAGAATAGAATAGAATAGAATAGAATAGAATAGAATAGAATAGAATAGAATAGAATAGAGCAGTGATGGCTAATCTTTTTGCCATCGGGTGCCAGGAGTGGGGAGGGGGGTTTCACATGCACATGTGCCCACACCCATAATTCTATGTGCCCCACCCCTGCGCATGCACGCGTGACACACACACACACACCCTGTTCCTGGCACACGATGGCATGGTAGGCCTGTTTTTCTCTCTCCCCAGGCTCCAGAGCATTTCTAGAAGCTTGGGAAGGGCAAAGGCCTCTGGAGCTTAGGAGGCCCTCTGGAGGCCGGAAACGGCCCGTTTGCCAACTTCTGGTAGGACCTCCGGGGGGGGGGGGGGGGGGGGGGGTGTTTTTCCCCCCCCCACCCCCTAGGGAGGCCCGGGAGGCTGGGGAGTGCAAAAAACGGGACTTCTGATCCCACCGGAAGTTGGCCTACGGGCTGTTTCCGGCCTCTGGAGGGCCTCCGGAGGGGTGGGGAAGGCTGTTTTCGCCCTTCCCAAGCTCCTAGAAAGGCTCTGGAACCTGGGGAGAGAGAAAAAAGGACACACTCTAGGGCAGGGGTGTCAAACTCAAGGCCCCGTGGGCCGGATCTGGCCCACAGGGTGCTCAGAACTGGCCTGCCGGAGGCCATCGCTACTGTAGGGTCAAATGGGCCGCCATGTAAATTGTATATAAAATCAATATATTCAATATAAAAGAACTCCTGGCCCTCTTTTCTCTGGATCCCAGGGTTACCTGCAGAAGCTCTTTGGCAGACCCTCTCTTCTCCACGTCCATTTCCAGGCAGCGATTAAGGAAGTCTCGAAAGATGGGGGAGAGCTTCTCCGGGTTTTGCAGCTCCGGGGTCCCGTTGGTAGCAATGAGATACAATGCCTGAAATCAATAAATAGTCATGATAAATAAGTATTCTCAAAGACGACGGGAAACATTCTCTGCCGTACGCTTATTGCAGTCCCTGGTTGCAATTTCCAGCTTTGCTAACCAATAAATTGCTAACTAAAGAAGTAAAACTGCCAGGTGTTAGATCAATAATTCATTTTTTCTTTCCTTCCTTCTCTCCTTCCTTCCCTCCTCCCTTTCCCGTTCCTTCCTTCCTTCCTCCCTTTCCTGTTCCTTTCTTCTCTTCCCTTCCCTTCTTCCTTCATTCCTCCCTCCCTTCCTCTTTCATGTTCTTCCTTCCTTCTCTGCTTCCTTCCTTCATTCTTCCCTCCTTTTTCCATCCCTTCCTCCTTTCCTTTCCTGTTCCTTCCTTCTCTTCCTTCTCTTCCCTTCTTCCTTCATTCCTCCCTTTCCTGTTCCTTCTCCCTTTCCTTCCTTCATTCCTCCCTCCCTTCCCATTCCTTCCTCCCTTCCTGCCTCCCTTTACTGTTCCTTCCTTCTCTTCCCTTCCCTTCTTCCTTCATTCCTCCCTTCCTTCCTCTTTCCTGTTCCTTTCTTCCTTCATTCCTCCCTCCCTTTCCCATTCCATCCTTCCTTCCTCCCTTTCCTGTTCCTTCTTTTCCTTCTCTTCCCTTCTTCCTTCATTCCTCCCTTTCCTGTTCCTTCTTCCTTCCTTCTCTCCTTCCTTCCCTTTCCTTCCTTCATTCCTCCCTCCCTTTCCATTCCTTCCTCCCTTCCTGCCTCCCTTTACTGTTCCTTCCTTCTCTCCTTCCTTCTTCCTTCATTCCTCCCTTCCTTCCTTTTCCTGTTCCTTCCTTCCTTCTCTCCTCCCTCCCTCCCTCTTTTCTTCCTCTCTTCCTCCCTATGAACCCTCTCCGTTTTAAGGGAAGAGGACATGTGTCCCTGTAGCTTACCCGCAGGGGGTTCTCGTTGAGGTACGGGGGTTCCCCCTCGATCATTTCAATGGCCATGATGCCCAGAGACCAAATGTCCACCTTCGGGCCGTAAGCTTTCCTTGTGACCACCTCGGGAGCCATCCAATATGGCGTCCCCACCATGGTGCTGCGTTTACTCTGCTCAGGGGTGATTTGGGCGCAAAAGCCAAAATCAGCTGGAGGAGGAGGGGGAAAAAAAGAAAGAAACAAAGATGAATGGATGAAAAAGGATCAGGTTAAGCTTGGTCTACTCCAGTTGTCCTCAACCTGATTCCTCCCAAGAAGGAACTGTCGATCCTGAAGCTGACATACCATGTTTTCCTGAAAATAAGACCCTGTCTTATATATTTTTTTTTGGGGGGGGGGACCCTGAAATAAGCGCTTGGCCTTATTGCCATGTGCTCAAAAAGTCCGATTGGGCTTATTATCAGGGGGTGTCTTATTTTGGGGGAAACAGGGTATGTGTAGCCATGTTTTATTATACCGTATTTTTCGGAGTATAAGGCACACCTTTTTCCCCCCAAAAAGAGGGTGAACATCTGGGTGCGTCTTATACTCCGAATGTAGCCCCGCCCAGCTTCTCAAACAGAGGTTTCAGAGGCTGAAAAAAGCATTGGAAATTAAGCTTCAGAAAAAAGCCCCCAAACAGAGCTTCAGAAAAAAAGCCTCCAAACAGAGCTTCAGAAAAAAGCCCCCAAACAGAGCTTCAGAAAAGAAGCCTCCAAACAGAGCTTCAGAAAGAAGCCTCCAAACAGAGCTTCAGAAAAAAGCCCCCAAACAGAGCTTCAGAAAAGAAGCCCCCAAACAGAGCTTGAGAAAAAAGCCCCCAAACAGAGCTTCAGAAAAAAAGCCTCCAAACAGAGCTTCAGAAAAAAAGCCCCAAAAAGAAGCCCACAAACAGAGCTTCAGAAAAGAAGCCCACAGAGCTTTAGAAAAGAAGCCTCCAAACAGAGCTTCAGAAAAGAAGCCTCCAAACAGAGCTTCAGAAAAAAGCAAACAGAGCTTCAGAAAAGAAGCCTCCAAACAGAGCTTCAGAAAAAAAGCCTCCAAACAGAGCTTCAGAAAAAAAAGCCCAAACAGAGCTTCAGAAAAGAAGCCCCCAAACAGAGCTTCAGAAAAAAAGCCTCCAAACAGAGCTTCAGAAAAAAGCCTCCAAACAGAGCTTCAGAAAAAAAGCCTCCAAACAGAGCTTCAGAAAAAAGCAAACAGAGCTTCAGAAAAGAAGCCCCCAAACAGAGCTTCAGAAAAAAGCCCCCAAACAGAGCTTCAGAAAAAAGCCCCCAAACAGAGCTTCAGAAAAAGCAAACAGAGCTTCAGAAAAGAAGCCCCAACAGAGCTTCAGAAAAAAGCCCCAAACAGAGCTTCAGAAAGAAGCCTCCAAACAGAGCTTCAGAAAAGAAGCCCCCAAACAGAGCTTCAGAAAAGAAGCCCCCAAACAGAGCTTCAGAAAAGAAGCCTCCAAACAGAGCTTCAGAAAAAAGCCTCCAAACAAAGCTTCAAAAGAAGCCTCCAAACAGAGCTTCAGAAAAGAAGCCTCCAAACAGAGCTTCAGGAAAAAAAGCCCCCAAACAGAGCTTCAGAAAAGAAGCCCCCAGAGCTTCAGAAAAAAGCCCCCAAACAGAGCTTCAGAAAAAAAGCCTCCAAACAGAGCTTCAGAAAAAAGCCCCCAAACAGAGCTTCAGAAAAAAGCCTCCAAACCGAGCTTCAGAAAAAAGCCTCCAAACAGAGCTTCAGAAAAAAGCCCCCAGAGCTTCAGAAAAGCCGCCCACAAACAGAGCTTCAGAAAAGAAGCCTCCAAACAGAGCTTCAGAAAAGAAGCCCCCAAACAGAGCTTCAGAAAAGAAGCCCCAAACAGAGCTTCAGAAAAGAAGCCTCCAAACAGAGCTTCAGAAAAAAGCAGAGCTTCAGAAAAGAAGCCTCCAAACAGAGCTTCAGAAAAAAGCCTCCAGACAGAGCTTCAGAAAAGAAGCCCCCAAACAGAGCTTCAGAAAAGAAGCCCCCAAACAGAGCTTCAGAAAAAAAGCCTCCAAACAGAGCTTCAGAAAAAAAGCCCCCAAACAAAGCTTCAGAGGCTTTTTTTCTGAAGCTCTGTTTCGGAGGCTTTCAGAGGCAGAAAAAAAAGTTTTTTCTTAAACAGAGTTTCAGAAGTTTCAGAGGCAGAAAAAAAAGCAAGGTAACAAGGAACCTGTTGCTAAAATTCATCTCTGGGAAAACATCTGATGGGGAGTTATTCCAGGAGGCTGATTCACCTGCCAATCAGCTTTTTTCTTATTTTCCCTCCCAGAAACCAAGGTGCGTCTTATACTCCGAAAAATACAGTACTCTTTGCCTATTCTTTTTCTTAGCTTTCTTTAGGTGTCCTGCAAAGGGATTTAACGATGCTTCAGGCTTGCCACAGCAGTAGGAAGTGGGGGGGGGGGGGTTGTAGAGATAAGGAGCGATGTTGTGACTAGCTGGCATTCTTGAGAAGGTGCCTGCAGCTGGTTGAAGGTGGAGTTTGGAGTCATCGGACTGAAGGACTGTGAGCCGATTGGAGAATGTGACTATGGGGAGGCGGGGGAAGTTTTAAACTTTTGCTTTTAATGGGTGTAATTCCGGGGTGAGGCCAGAGCTGGAATTATGTAACAGTAACAGAGTTGGAAGGGACTTTAGAGGACATCTAGTCCAACCCCCTGCTCACGCAGGAGACCTGTACTAGGGATTCGAACCGCCGAACTGCCGACCTTTCTGATCGACAAGCTCAGTGTCTTAGCCAATGAGCCGCCTAGTCAGTTACGCCGAGACCTTGCCAATTGGATATGTTCCTAATAAAAAGCCTTTGATTAATTATGGATGCTTTGGGCTTTTCATGCTGGGGACATATGACTTCGAACCTTGACAGGAACAGCAATTCCCAGAAACTGTAGACAACGTCTTTCTTGGAGAACACCAAAAAAAATATACACTTTTTCTTAAGACACCAGGCCCTTGAGAAAGATCTTAGAATGATGGTTTGGTGTTGTGGGGAAGTAGAAACCAGGAGATGGGGAGTTATGGCAGGAAAACCAACTGGGATGGCTTTGGGCCAATCACCAGGAGATGGTGAGTTCTAGTTCCGCCTTAGGCAAGAAAGCCAGCTGGGTGAGTTTGGGCCAATCACCACGGGACACTGAGTTCTAGTCCTGCTTTAGGCATGAAAGCTAGCTGGGTGACTTTGGGCCAATCACCAGGAGACGGTGAGTTCTAGTCCCACCTTAGGCATGAAAGCCAACTGGGTGAGTTTGGGCCAATCACCAGGAGACGGTGAGTTCTAGTTCCGCCTTAGGCATGAAAGCCAGCTGGGTGAGTTTGGGCCAATCACCAGGAGACTGTGAGTTCTAGTCCCGCCTTAGGCATGAAAGCCAACTGGGTGAGTTTGGGCCAATCACCAGGAGACTGTGAGTTCTAGTCCCGCCTTAGGCATGAAAGCCAACTGGGTGAGTTTGGGCCAATCACCAGGAGACTGTGAGTTCTAGTCCCGCCTTAGGCATGAAAGCCAACTGGGTGAGTTTGGGCCAATCACCAGGAGATGGTGAGTTCTAGTCCCGCCTTAGCCATGAAAGCCAGCTGAGTGACTTTGGGCCAGTTTCTCTCTCTCAGCCCAGTCTACTTCACAGGGTTGTTGTTGTTGTTGGGTGGGGGAAAGGAGGCAAGAGTATTATGCATATTCATTGCCTTGAGTTCCTTACAAAATACCGGTATTAAAAAGGGAACAAATGTATATATAAATACATTTAAAAATTGGCGTTTACTGTCCAAAGAGCAGGCAAATAGGTCAGGTCCCAACAATGTAGAATTAATATGGTGTCTCTCTATGCATGCAATGAATAGGTTTTCACCTTTTGCCCACCCATGCTGGGATCTAAGGCATCTACTACTTTGTTAGGAGGGGGGGGGGTTTCCACCCATAGGCAAAACATTCTCCAGACCAGCGGAAATTTTTGGTGGTCTGCAGAAAAATCATTTGCGGCCCCTGGGACAGATACGTGCAATGAACGTTTGTGTTGCTGCTGAGTGTCTCCCCCTTCGGGGTCTTTTTGTGTGGGTCGGAGGGGGGCAGAAATTCCAACTTGGGGTCTGCTTCGGCCTCCTGGCATGGGGCTTTGGGCGAAGGCTGGAGGGAAGTGCCACTGATGGCGAAGAGCCGAAGGGCCTCGTTCCAGTGGGACAGCATCGTGGCCTGTAACTGGCCGACCATCTCAGCCCGCTGAGCCTCCAGGTGCCGGTACCTGGCCTTGCACTCCTGCAGGTCTTCCCTCTGCTTGGAAAGCCTATGCTCCTAGTCCTCAGTGAGGTGCTTCTGCTGAGCCGCCTCCTCGGTCAGATCCAATTTGAACTGAGCTGTTTTGCCGACTCTTTTTCGTGGTGGCTGCTTAGCTCCAACAGCTGCTTCCTGTTGGGGCCCTAAGGAGCCCGGGCGGGGTGGCGAGGAGTGGCTGGGAGGGGCGAGTAGAGGCTGGCAAGGTGCCCCTTGACATGAGTGACATTGAGTTGGCCACGCCCACCCAGCCACATGACCACCGAGCCACGCCCACCCAGCCGGTCATTAGGCAGATCATATTAGTGGTGTGCGGGATTTAAAATTATGAATTTAATGGTCCCTGAGGTCCAAAAGATTGGTGACCCCTGCCCCAGACCCACAATTGTCGTCAATCATCCAAGTCACATACTTAGCTTGACAGACCCATCCATTCCCAGCAAAATGTTGTCACTTTTGATGTCTCGATGTATCACTTGGTTGCAGTGAAGGAATTCCAATGCTTGAAGGCACTAGGAGGAAACAGCAAGCACAGATGTGGGTCGGTGGGAGTATGTGTGTGTCTATGGGAGTATCTACGCATTTCCCAATAACTAACACACACCTAAGGATGCAGGGATCAGAAAGGTAGGGGTGATATAATGGTATGTGAGAATAACCTTGGGAGACAGAGCAAAGAGGCGGGGAAGAGGAGCACTTCCTATTAATGGACCTTTACAATAAACAGAATTAAAAGTATCTCTGAAAGGATGATTCGGAGGGAGGGAGGGAGGAAAGGCAAGAAGGAAGGAAGGAGGGAGGGAGGGAGGAAGGAAGGAAGGAAGAAGAGCTAAGAATAAAAGGGAGGGAGGAGAGGGATGGATGGATGGATGGATGGATAGATGGATGGGAGGGAGGGAGGGAAGGAAGATGAATAGAGAGGGAAGGAGTGTGGGGAAGGAAGGAGAGAGTGGGTGGATGATTAGACAGAAGAAATGGAGGAAAGAAGGGAAGAAGGAAGGACGGAAGGAAGGAAGGAAAAAGAAAGAGAAAAAAGAAAGAAAGAAAGAAAGAAGGAAGGAAGGAGAAGGAAGGAAGGAAGGAAGGAAGGAAGGAGAGCTAAGGATAAAAGGGAGGGAGGGTGGAGAGGGATGGATGGATGCCTGGATGAGGGAGGAAGGAAGGAAGATGAATAGAGAGGGAAGGAGTAGGGAAGGAAGGAGAGAGTGGGTGGTTGAGTAGACAGAAGAAATGGAGGAAGGAAAGAAGGGAAGAAGGAAGAAAGGAAGGACGGAAGGAAGGAAAAAGAAAGAAAGAAAAAAAGAAAGAAAGAAAGAAGGAAGGAAAGAAGGAAGGAAGGAAGGAAGGAAGGAAGGAAGGAAGGAAGGAGAGCTAAGAATAAAAGGGAGGGAGGGTGGAGAGGGATGGATGGATGCCTGGATGAGGGAGGAAGGAAGGAAGATGAATAGAGAAGGAAAGAGTGGGGAAGGAAGGAGACAGTGGGTGGATGAGTAGACAGAAGAAATGGAGGAAGGAAGGAAGGAAGGAAGGAAGGAAGGAAGGAAGGAAGGAAGGAAGGAAGGAAGGATCGACGTGCTATATAGTTCAACCTGGCCTACTTTCAGGGCAGAAACCTCTGAATATCTCCTTGAATTTTTAAATAACTTTTCCAGTCCATTCCAAGCTCTGCCACTGTTGGAGGCACGGAGGAATCTGGGAAGGAAATGTCTCTGAAACCACGATTCAAAGGGACCCAGGTTACCTATAGTCATCCTTCAAATCCTTACCTCACGGCACACCGCAGCTATCTGTCCTTCATCCATGCAGGTCTCGGTTACCACGTCTGTCAACGAACCGCCAGCCAAATACTCCATGACAACCCACAGCTCATCTCCCACAAGGTAACTGCAGCGAACGGAAGAAACGGCAGGAGTTAACATCGGCCAGCCAAAACACACAAACACACACCTATTGCCAAACCGACATATGGAGCAACGTTTAAAAATAGATCACGCTGGCAAAGTGGGCCACCAAGATAAAGCCACAAAACCACCTTGCAAACAAAAAAACAAATGACCAAATCTGGGTTTTGATTTCCAGTTAGAGATGACGTTTTCCAGAAGACTCCAGAGAAAATCTTAATTTTAAATCTGCTTTTCCTATTCCAGAGTTGGCCAAATTCTCCTTTTGTAGAGTCACTTTTGAAGGCGACCTTGGGGAACAAGGTCTCAGTAGAAGAGGATAATTGTAGCTCAGGGTCGAACCGGGAGGTCCTTGGTGCTCTCTGAGCTGGGTTGTTTTCTGTCTGACGTTTCATGACTCAACACTCCACACTGGGTGTTGTGGCTCCGTTGCCTGAGCCTGGGCTATCGACAGATGCAGACTCTGAGAGTGAGGGAGAGGAGTTGGCAAGGCCTCCCTCTCCAGGACCCTCCTCTCTGGCAATGCCTCCGGAGGACACCGAAGGCCAAGAGATAGGCCCAGAGCCAAGCACGTCCCCGCAGCCACAGGTGGACAGCGACAAAGGAGATAAGTGCTGGCTGGACCCTCGGCAGCGGCGCAGGGAGAAGCGTGCGCAGCAGAGGGGAAGGCGTGCCAGAGATTAGCTGAGTCACTGAACCACACCCCACAGGGTATAAATGTGGGTGTGGTGGCCGGTTCAGTTTGTGACGAGCAAAAACTAGAAATAATCCATGATCTCTGCGTTACTGGACTTCTGCCTGCCTTGTCGGACTGCATTTGGACTAATCCTTGTATTGTTGAAACTTTGCCTGCTTTATCGGAATGCTTGCAGTCTAATCTTTGTTTTGTGTGAGTAAAGTCTGAATTGGCAGTTAGCCACTGGGTTGCTACCAGCTTTATCTTCAAAGATTTTGTCATATGGCTTATTAACTCCGGGCCATCTGTGGGGGTGCGTGTGTGGGACGGGGACAGAACACTGGGTAGCACAGATGATGTTTCCTAGCTGGGTCATGAAATGTCGGCCAGAAAACAACCAAGCTCAGAGAGCACCAGGACTCCAGAACAAAGTCAGTCCTGCGTAAGCATCTTGAAGAACAAGATCTCAATGATCCCACTTTGGCAGAAAAATCTAGAAGCAAGCAGTTCCATTGATTAATTGTTCTCCTCAGGAAATTCCTCCTTAGTTATAGAATATAGAATATCAGGGTTAGAAGGGATCTTGGAGGTCTTCTAGCCCAATCCTCTATATAGGAGACCCTATATACCATTTCAGACAGATGGTTGTCCAATCTCTTATTAAAAACTTCCAGTGTTGGAGAATTCACAATTTCTGGAGGCAAGTCCTTCCACGGATTAATTGTTCTCACTGTCAGGAAATTTCTCCTTAGTTCTAAGTTGCTTCTCTCCTAGTTTCCACCCATTGCTTCTTGTCCTGCCTTCAGGTGCTTTGGAGAATAGTTTGACTCCCTCTTCTTTGTGGCAGCCCCTGAGATATTGGAAGACTGCTATCATGTCTCCCCTAGTCCTTCTTTTTGATAAACTATACCGACAAATGTCTATTCAATCTCTTCAAAACCTCCAGTGATGGTGCACCTGAGGTAACTCTTTCCACTGAATCATTGCTCTCACTGTCAAGAAATTTCTCCTTAATTCTAAGTTGCTTCTCTCCTTGATGAGTTTCCACCCGTTGCTTCTTGTCCTGCCCTCAGGTGCTTTGGAGAATAGGTTGACCCTCTCTTCTTTATGGCAGCCCCTCAAATATTGGAAGACTGTTATGATGTCCCCCCTGGTCCTTCTCTTCATCAGAGTTGACAATCCATAGGAGACCATGTTCTACAGCCAAGCAGAGAAGTTTGAAGAAGGATTACGGAGACCTAATTCTCACCCCTCGTCATAAATTGCCAGAGGTCTCACATTGCTCACTTCTGAGCATGTAATTCACAGGTTTCATCTCACCTCCAGACGTCCCTCACCCTTCTTTCTCCTCACAAAATGCTTGAAGGTCACACTTGCCTCATTTCTCATCTCACCTACCTCATATTTCCCATCAAGGGAAATTCAGAGGTCATAGCTTTCTTATTTCAAATTCTCGGCATAAATTCCATAGGTTAGAAACATCGAAAATGGAACGGCAGAAAAAGACAAGCGGTCTATCGAGTTTGTCCCTTGAGTTTTCGTTTGTTTGTTTAAATTTATTGATTATTTTTAATTATTTACAGGTAATCCTTGATTTACAACACTTCGTTTAGTGACCAAAGTTACAACAGCACTGAAAAAAGAGACTTATGACCTTTTTCCACACTTATGACTGTTGCAGCATTCCACGGTCAGGTGATCAAAATTCGGACACTTGGTCACCGATTCATGTTTATGACGGTTGCTGTGTCCCCAGGGTCATGTGACCTTGTTATGCGACCTCCTGACAAGCAAAGCCAATGGGAAAGCCAGATTCATTTAACAACTTGTTACTCACTTAACAACCGCAGTGGTTCAGAAAAGCTTGCAAATAGGGCAAAGCTTAATAAATGTCTCGCTTAGCAGCATAATTTTGGGCTCAACTGTGGTCGTAAATCGAGGATTACCTGTAGTTCAAGGCGTTGTGATAAAATCCCTGCCAAATCTCACTTATTTGCAATTGCTACTCAATCTCCGAAAAAGCTGGTTTGGGTTACTACATGTTACTAACGGAACTGCACTGATTCGCTTAACAACTGTGGCAAGAAAGTCACACAATGGGGCAAAACTCACTTAATAACTGTCTCGCTTAGCAACAGAAATGTTGCGCTCAATGTTGGTTCGTTAACTGATAAACATGAGCCAGTTGCCAAAGTATCTAAATATAGATATTTCTCCCTTTTTTGTAAGCAGTCCAGGATTATTTTAGAGTTGATCAGAGAAATGTGTTTTAGTTCTTAATCGCTTGATAGATTTAAAGCCATTAAATGAATGAATAAAATGGCTCCCCATGTATTTCATAATTAAGAATTATAGCTCTCTGAGAGATGTTTTGGCTACTGCCTAACAACACCATGGCAACAGATACTGTACCCCGAGCCACTTGCAAGCATCTGTTTTTTAAAAAGGATTCAAAGAAAAGATTGAATTCCACAAATAAATATAAAAACAAGGAGAGGAAGAAGCAAACAGAGGGAAGGAAAAACCAAAGGGAGAATATTTTAAGATCAACCATCCGAACGCATCTTTTCCTCACCATCACTTTCACAGTGGAATCAATCTGTTTGACTTTTATTTTTTCCCGGGACAGGAAAAAAACAACAGATTTGGCACAGCAGGGAAATCCATAAAGAGGGCCAAGATAATACAGAATTACATAAATTAAAAACTGGTCAGCCTCTTTTTCACCGGTGTTATTTTTAAAGAGGTTTTCTTTTTAAGGGAGGCACAAAATGGATCTCGAAGCAGAGCTTCCAGAGAAAATGCATTCAACAAGTTTAATAAGAGGTAAAAATTGAAGTAAATACTGAAAAGGTGGGGTTTTTACCGAAGCATCAAAATATGTGGATTTACACTATGTACTCAGCATGCTAAAAAATAGTGTTTTACTTCAGTGTAAAGGCAGCCAGTTTGGTATAAAGGTGAAAGTGCTGGCCTACAGTTAACCAGCCAAATTTCAGACTTAAGACAGAACTAGAACTCACCGCTTCCAAAGTCACCCAGTCAGTTTATATGCCTAAAGCAGGATTAGAACTCACTGCCTCCAGGTTTCTAGCCCGATTCCTTGCTTAACCACTACAGCAAACTGGCTCTGTTCTCACAGATCTTGTGGCAGGGAGTTGGTGGAGCCTTACGGATGAGTTCTTTTGTTATTTTGGAGATAGGTGCCTTTCGAATGACACCTGTCAATCAATCCATCAAGATTGCCACCTAATCTCCTGATTATCAAAAGGCCTCCGTGCAATTCGGTCTGAGGGGGGGGTCCTTGGTGTTCTCTGAGCTTGGTTGTTTTCTTGCAGACCTTTCATTACCCAGCTAGGTAACATCTTCAGTGCTAGTAGGGAGTGGGATGTGCAGAGAAGAGGAGGAGGAGGAAGAGGAAGACTATGGGGTCCTTAGAGCTCTCTGAACTTGGTTGTTTTCTTACACACCTTTCATTACTCAACTAGGTAACATCATCAGTGCTAGTAGGGAGTGGGATGTGCGGAGAAGAGGAGGAGGAGGAGGAGGAGGAGGAGGAGGAGGAGGAGGAGGAGGAGGACGACGACGACTGTGGGGTCCTTAGAGCTCTCTGAACTTGGTTGTTTTCTTACACACCTTTCATTACTCAACTAGGTAACATCATCAGTGCTAGAAGGAGTGTTGTTTGCGGAGAGGAGGAGGAGGAGGAGGAGGAGGAGGAGGAGGAGGACTCCTTGGCACTCTCTTGGTTGTTTCCATGCAGACATTTTATCACCAAGACGACTCCCACCAGGGCAAGTGTATAAAAAGAGCAAACCCCACTCCCCACTAGCACTGACGATGTTCCCTAGTTGGGTCACGAAATGTCTGCAAGAAAACCACCAAGTTCAGAGGGCATCAAGGAGCCCTCATTTCAACCCTGAGCGACCAATATCCTCCTTTATTGATACCATTCGTTCTATCCAATGATAAACCGATCAACTGAATTCAGATCAAAGGCCACCAATGTGACAACTTCAGGGATGAGGCCCAGTTCCATCCGTCCGACTTCTCCTCTCCCACCACTGGGTCACCTCAGCTCCCTTGTTTTATATCATGGTTTTTCAGGGAAAATGAGGGGCAAACATTTTGGTCTTTTCACCTCACACTCCCAGTCAAGAAACAACACAGATGTCAGTCAAAGCGGCTGCGTAAAACGAGACGCCCTGCGCCATATCTTAATTACAGCTACCTGTCCAGGTAGTTGACAATGTTGGGGTTCTTGTTTTCCCTCATGACGAGAATCTCATTGATAATCAGCTCTTTCTTAGGCTGCTGCTGCAAATTCATCTGTTTGATGGCAACCTGAATTTTGGAAGGGGGGGAAAAAAAAGGAAGCCATAAGTTTGGTTGAAAGAGTCACAATTCTAATGACGGGAGAAGATATTAGAAATACAGACAGTCCTCGATTTACAACCATAATGGAGCCTGACCATTATGGTGGTACGTTATGGCGGTCGTTAAGAGAAGCGTCCATGGGATCACCTCACGTAATGGCCGCAATCTCTGCTCTCCCCGTTGCTGGTCATTAAATGAATGCATGGGATAAGTGTGGTGTCCATGAGATCACCTCACTTAATGGCCATAATCTCTGCACTCGTCACTGCTGTCACTAAACGACCACATGGGTTGTTAAGCAAGATGTCCATGCGATCATCTCATTTAATGACCATAATTCCTGTTCTCCCCATTGCTGTCGTTAAGTGACTGCATGGATTGTAAGCATGAGGTCTTCTCATGCTTACAAGGGCTTTCAGGGCAATGGCTGTCCAGTCTCTCCTTAAAAACCTCCTGTGAAGGAGCACCCACAACTTCTGGTGGCAAGTAGTTCCACTGGTTAATTGTTCTCATTGTCAGGAAATTTCTCCTTAGTTCCAGGTTGCTTTTCTCTTTGATGAGTTTCCATCCACTGTTTCTACTTCCAGGTGTTTGGACAACAGGTTGACCCCCTCTTCTCTATGACAGCCCCTCAAATATTGGAAGGCTGCTATCATGTCACCCCTAGTCCTCCTTTTCATTCAACTAGACATACCCAATTCCAGCAACTGTTCTTCATACGTTTTAGCCTCCAGTTCCCCTCTGTTTCCACCCCACCTCACACCTGCCAGAGCCTTTACCTCTTGTGCCGTTGCTACATCCATTGCGGTGTAAACCGTACCCGAAGCCCTGAAACACAAAACAGAGAAGACAAATCTGTTTAAAAGAGCTTCAATTACCATATATAAGCATTGATAAACCTTTTCAGGATGATCCGACGCTTCATTTTTAATCAAAATATTAAGTAAAATGCGCCACCCGTGGATCCTGGCTCTCACAATTTTCATATGTTTTAATTTTCACAATTGGCTTATGTGTGGGTAATCCACAGATGATCCATTTTTTCATTTTTCGTATTTTAGTTCAAGGCTCAGCTTATCCACAGATGGGCTCCTACACAAGTATATACGGGATGCACAGATGTTTTACAAAACCGTATATATCCGTAGATAAGCCCATCTGTGGATGCTCAATTTTGAGGCTACAGATAGGCCTCAACTTACAACTACAATTCAGCCCCCAATTTTTGTCTCTAAGAAAGGAAGTTCTTTCTGCCCCATTTTACGACCTTTTTTGCCACAGTTGTTAAGTGAACCACTGCAGTTGTTTAGTTAGTAACCCGGTTATTAAATGAATCTGGTTTCCCCATTGACTGTGTTTGTCAGAAGGTCACAAAATATGATCACATGATCCTGCGACACTCGAACCGTCTTAAATATGAGTCAGTTGCCAAGCATCACGTGGCCACAGGGATGCTGCAATGGTCATAAGTGTGAGAAACGGTCATTGGTTACTTTTTTCAGTGCTGTTGTAACTTGGAATGGTCACTAAGCAAACCATTGTAAATTGAAGTCTACCTGTAGCTTGCCAGTATTTCTTTGTTTTGACTTCCAAAGGTTGACTTCCCTTAAGTTTGTTCCATGAACTCCTTTCTCATCCTTGCTTTTTGGTTTAAATGGAGACAAACAGCCAGTTTGGTGCAGTTGTTAAGATGCTGGCCTAAAAACCAGGAGATGGTGAATTCTAGACCTGCTTTAGGCGTGAAAGCCAGCTGGGTGACTTTGGGCCAATCACCAGGAGACGGTGAATTCAAGTCCCACCTTAGGCATGAAAGCTAGTTGGGTGACTTTGGGCCAATCACCAAGAGACTGTGAATTCTAGTCCCGCCTTAGGCATGAAAACCACCTGGGTGACTCTGGGCCAATCACCATGAGATGGTGAGTACTAGTCCCGCCTTAAGCAAGAAAGTCTGCTGGGTGACTTTGAGCCAATCACCAGGAGACGGTGAATTCTAGTCCCGCCTTAGGCAGGAAAACCGCCTGGATGACTTTGTGCCAATCACCAGGAGACGGTGAATTCTAGTCCCACCTTAGATATGAAAGTCAGCCGGGAGATTTTGGGCCAATCACCAGGAGACAGTGAATTCTAGTCCCGCCTTAGGCAGGAAAACCACCTAGATGACTTTGAGCCAATCACTAGGATATTGTGAATTCTAGTCCTGCCTTTGGCATGTAAACCACCTGGGTGACTTTGCACCAATCACCAGGAGACGGTGAATTCTAGTCCCGCCTTAGATATGAAAGTCAGCTGGGAGATTTTGGGCCAATCACCAGGAGTCGGTGAGTTCTAGTCTTGCCTTAGACATGAAAAGCAGCCAAGTGACTCTGGGCCGATCACCAGGAGATGGTGAGTTCTAGTTCTAATTTCCTCCTGAAAACCAGCTGGGTGACTTTGGGTCAGTCCCTCTCTCTCAGCCCAATCGATCTCACAGGCTTGTTACAGGAGGAAGGAGGACTATTAGGCATGTTCTCTGCCTCAAGTTATTTATAAACTAATAAAAGGCAAGATAAAACTCTAATAAATAATATGTTCAGCAGTTTGCAGATGGACTTCTAGGGATCGAAATAAGCTCACTGCAATTGAAACTGCCATCTTCCCCTCCATTTCAACTCTTCCTTCTTTATTTTCCTTCCTCACCAACCCCCATAGGTTTATTCGCAGCATTTGTGAGAATTGTGCGGCCGTGTGACAACAAGGGACAATAAAACTGGCTGCATGACAAAATCTGATTCCCACCTGCTGGAGGCCTTTGTCTCGGTGACCTAACTGCCTATTCGCCCATGGAAATCGGTTCTTGGCAAGCGGGAAAACCCTTGAAACCGATTACGGGTGCTATTATGTGCAGATTCCAAAGATCGGCTCCCCAAATCCCACAGAAACAGCCACTTGGAACAATACAAAAATTATGGAAGAAAAAATCTCCATGGTTTCACTCGTCTGAGGCAGCAAATTTCTACAGGAAAAGCACGGGGGGAGGTTCGTGATTTAAAAATGTCCACATTTCCAAATGTCCACACTTGGAAAAATACAGGAAATTGACCCATAAAATACGTCAATTTCCAAGCATCTGAATTTTGATTACATGATCACGGGGATGCCACCATGTAAAAAACGGTCATAAGTCATCTTTTTCTGTGCCGTTGTAGCTTTGGTCACTAAATGAACTGTTGTAAGTCGAGGACTACCTGTACCGAAGAAGCAGTCGCTCCCAATTAAATACTTACCCTTGTCCAATCTTCTCAAAACTGGTATATTTCTTCTTGGGATCCCCAATGCTTACGATACCTCCTTTTAAAGCAAAAAAGCAAAAATTCTGCAGTTTAAGCTTTTTGGTACTTGCAGACATCCATTCCTTGGAAATACAGTTAGTTTTCCAGGTTAAAAACTTGTCAGAGTTTGTTGCAAAAAACAAATCCAGAAGCACACACAGATAAACTGATGCAGCAGGATTCATTAACTTCATATATATTATATATATATTATATTCATTATATTCACAATACATGAAGTAAATTTACAATACCAACAACAGATTCACAGTTTCCTTTCAAGCAGAGCAGAGAGCATGCACAGATTGGTTTCAGTTTCAATTCTCTGCACAGACTCAGAAGCTGCAGACTAATACATGTCCTTGGCTCCAGTCTGTCTAAGCTCCCAATTGGCTGACTTAGCTATGCCTATTCATGGCTGACCTTGTTACCATGTCTTCCCAGTTATGGATATTCTGACAAAATTTAGGAAGGAAAAGAATTGAAAGTTCAAATCATAGGACTACGACTTCAGTACGTTTTCAGTGTTGATATTTCTCCTTTTTAGTGCAAAGTGATCAATGCAGAAACTCACTGGTATTATATTACAGATCGATCAATTTCCTTCATTTTAAACAATATTCTATAGTAGAATAATATTACATAAGTATGGATGGGGAACTTCCAGACAAATCTCCTATGTAAAAAATCCCTATTCAAAGCGTTGCCTCTCAAAATATAAGAAAAATATAAGTATTCCATCCTGCTTCGTTTCATCTAAGAATTTGAATCTTCTGCTAGAAATTGTTCTGATGGTTAAAACTGTTCCTGACCTATTTATTACAGGTAGTCCTCGATTTATGACCACAATTGAGCCCCAACATTGATAAGCGAGACAGTGGTCAAGAGAATTTTGCTCCATTTTATGACCTTCCTTGCCACAGTTGCTAAGTGAATCATGGCAGCTGTCAGGTTATTCACACCGTGGTTAAAGTCCCCATTGCCTTTGCTTGTCAAAAGGGGAATCACGTAACCTTGAGACACTACAACTGTCATAAATATGAGTCAGTGGCCAAGCGTTTGAAATTTGATCACGTGACCCTGGGGATGCCGCAACGGTCATAAATTTGAAAAAAACGTACATATATCACTGTTTTCAAGGCCATTGTAAATTTGAATCCAAATCCCAGGAGGTCCTTCGTAACAGTTGCTAAGTGGATTGTCGTAAATAGAGGACTACCTGTACTCAGGGGTGGGCTTCAAAACTTTTAGCAAGGGGTTCTCTGCCTGGTTGCTGGGTGGGCGTGGCCATAGTGGGCGTAGCCTAGTCTGCCCCCTACACCACGGCAGGGAGGGGGGGCGTTTTTGCCCTCCCCAGGCTCCGGAGGCTTTACTTGAGCCTCCAGGAGGACGATAATGGCCTCCCCAGGCTCTGGAGGCCCTCTGGAGGCTGGGAACAAACTTCCGATAGGCCCGTTTTTCGCCCTCCCCGAGCCTCCGTCGTGCGCCCTGCACTTACCTGCATCCAAAATGGGCTGCGTGGGGACTCCTGGGAGGGGTGGGGTGGGGTCAGCCAGGAGTGGGATTTGGGGGTTCTCCGAACTGCACAGAATCTTAGCTAGAGGTTCTCCCGAACCCTTGCAAACTCCCAGGAGCCCATCCCTGCCTGTACTACAAGTTGAGTCTCCATAATATCGTTTTTAGCCTTGACAATCCCACTTAACACATTCCATCTATTTAGAGAAGCAAAGCATCACACATCACAGCACAAACCGGCACTGGGAGACACTTCTGAAGGCCTTCAAACACCGATTGTGTGAAAGTTTGCACTTTGCACCGGGGAAATGGCTTAACGCAAAACAGGAGGCGAGAAATATTTTTGTCTGTGATCACAATTAAAAGACTGCACACACACACACACCCCAATACAATACAATGCAGGTAGTCCTCGGTGTACAACCGTTAGTTTAGTGACCATCCAAAGTTAAAACAGCACTGAAGAAAGTGAATTGTGACTCTTTTTCACACTTACGACCGTTGCAATCCGCACGGCCGTACAATCAAAATTCAGACACTTAGCAACCGACTCATATTTATGACAGCTGGGGTCAACGCAATCCCCTTTTACGACCTTCTGACACGCACAAGTCAATGGGGAAGCCAGATTCACTTAACAACCATATGACTCACTTAACAACTGCAACGATTCATTAAACAACGGTGGCAAGAAAGGTCACCAAAAGAGGCAAAACTCCCTTAACCCATGTCTCGCTTAGCCACAGAAATGCTGGCCTCAACTGTGGTCGTAAATCGAGGACTACCTGTAAAAGCCCATCGAACCTTCGGCATTCCGATTCAAAACCAATCTTACTTAATTTTTCCAGGATTTCTTCATCGGTCATTTTAGGCTTTTTCTTCTGTTTCTCGGCATTTCTCACCAGCGTATCGGGGGGCGTGATGCTGTTTTCGGAAGGGGAGTTGATGGGGGAGGTGGTCACATCCCTGGTTGGGGCTGGCGGAAGAGGTTCGATCACGGAGCGGGTGTAAATCTGTATTTTTGGGAAGGAGAGAGAGAAAAACAGGCATAAAAAAATGAGAGAAAGATCATGGAGAAATTTCTGGGATCCACCAATGCCCTCAAAAGGTGATCCTACTTATGAAACAGCAAAACCAAGTGCTAAAAAGGGAATTTTCAGCCATTGTTTATCATTGGTACCAAGTGGAGCTTCCAGCAACAGTAGCAGTCTACCTTCAGTAGCTAGGACTGCTGATAAACAACGAGGTTTACTGCTACTTCTATCTTAAAAGTGTGTATTATTATTATTATATTCTTAACCCCAATATAGGTAGTCCTCAACTTACGACGTTTGATTTAGTGAGCGTTTGAAGTTACAACAGCACTGAAAGAAGTGACTTTCACACTTACGACTGTGGCAGAATCCCCACGATTATGTCTTCAAAATTTGGACGCTTGGCAACTGACTCGTATTTATGACGGTTGCAATGTCCCGGGGTTACGTGATCCCCTTTTGAGACCATGTGATAAGCAAATAGGAAGACAGATTCACTTAACAACCATAGTTCCTAACTGAACAACTGCAGCCCAGCAATTGTGGCAAGAAAGGTCGTAAAATGGGGCAAAATTCACTTAGCAACTGTCTTGCTCAGGAGCCAAAATTTTGGGCTCAATTATAATCATAAGTCAAGAAAAACCAACCGTTGCTAAGTGAGTCACACAGCTGTGTGAATCTGATTTCTCCACTGACTTTGCTTGTTAGAAGGCCACAAAAGAGGATCACTGCAACCGTCATAAATATGAGTCAGTTGCCAAGTGTTTGAATTTTGATCATGTGACCATGGGAATGCTGCAAAGTGTGAAAAACAGTCATAAATCACTTTTTTCAGGGCCGGCATAACTTCAAACGGTCACTAAATGAATTATTGTAAGTCGAGGACTACAGGTAGTCCTCAACGTACAGCCACAATTGAGTCCAAAATTAATGTTGCTAAGTGGGACATTTCTTAAGTGAGTTTTTCCTCAATTTTACGACCTTCCTTGCCACGGTTGTTAAGTGAATCACTGCAGTTATTAAATTAGTAACACCATTGTTAAGTGAATCTGGCTTCCCCCCATTGACTCTGCTTGTCGGAAGATCACAAAAGGGGATCACGTGACCCCGGGACACTACAACCGTCATAAATATGAGTCAGTTTCCAAGCATCCGAACGTAAATCACGCGACCGTAGGGAACGCTGCAACGGTCGTAAGTGTGAAACATGATCATAAGTCACTCTTTCCAGTGCCGTCGTAACTTCAAACGGTCACTAAGCGAACTGTTGCATGTCGAGGACTACCTGTATTTGTACAAACCCGTTTTCAAAACAGTTACTCCTATGGAGAAGAACCACTCACCGATTTTGTGTGTTCGGGCCGAGGGGCGATGATCGGCGGAGGGAGAGCTTCATCATCGTCATCCTCATCTTCCGACACAGAGGGCACCGCTGGGGTTTCCGACACGGCCTTTACATTCTGTGTGGAAATAACACACAATTTAATTATTTCTTATGTTATTAGATCATAGTTTTTGTTCGGAACCTGAAGGAAACGTGCAGACATTTTTCACAAAATGGCTGCCCACAACAACCTTGAATGGCTGAGGACGGACGAGGCTCCCCGTCCAGCAATTCCACCCCTTAGGCCGGACTGCCATTTTCTGCCGAAAGAAAAAAATGTGCTTTATAGGTAGTCCTTGGTTTACGACCACCACGGAAACTTCTGTTGCTAAGGGAGGCAGTCGTTATGTGAATCACAATTTGATGACCTTTTTAGCCATGGGGGAAGCCTGACTCACTTAACAACCGTGTGACTAAAGGAACAACTGCAGTGCTTCGCTTAACAACTGTGGCAAGAAAGGTTGCAAAATGGAGCAAAATTCACAAACGTCTCACTTAGCAACAGAAATGATGGACATAAGTTGAGGACTACCTGTAATTGGCCCTGGATCAAAAATCAACGTTTGTTTCTTAATAGCATCTCTTATGAAGCAAAATGGAGCAAAATTCACCTCACAAATGTCTCACTTAGCAACAGAAATGGTGGTCATAAGTTGAGAGCTACCTGTAATTGGTCCTGGGATCAAAAATCCATGTTTGTTTCTTAATAGCATCTCTTATGAAGCAAAATGGAGCCAAATTCACCTCACAAATGTCTCACTTAGCAACAGAAATGATGGTCATAAGTTGAGGACTACCTGTAATTGGTCCTGGATCAAAAATCCATGTTTGTTTCTTAATAGCATCTCTTACGGATTGAATACAATTAAGTCCAATCTCCAACCCAGTCTATCTTCCCCCCCCCAAAAAAACCAGATAAGATCGTTTCCTAATTAAGTGTAATAAATCCATTTCCCAATAATCATTACAGGTAGTCCTCGACTTACAACAATTCATTTAGTGACCGTTCAAATTTGCAACGGCACTGAAAGATATAACTTATGACCATTTTTCACAGTTACGACCATTGCAGCATCCCCCTGGTTGTCTGAAATCCGAACACTTGGCCACTGACTCGTATTTATGACGGTCGTAGTGACCCATCACACGATCCCCTTTTGCGTCCTCCTGACAAGCAAAGCCAACAGGGAAAGCCAGATTCACTTAACAACCCGTGTTGCCAACATTACAACTGCAGGGATTCCCTTAACAGCGGTGGCAAGGACGGTCGTGTAAAAAGGGACAAAATCCACTTAAGAAATGTTTTTGCTTAGGAACAGAAACGCTGGGCTGAATTGTGGTTGTAAGTCGAGATTTAGCTGTATTTTAAAGAGGAAGTGGAATGAGGAAGATTATGGATTGGAGCAAAAATAATTTTTTTTGCAGATTTTTTGTTATTGTTGTTCTTTAGCAACAGGGAAAGTCATTAGGCAACAGAGGGATTCAATCAAGATCAAGGGAGGTACTAATACCACTCTATAAAGCCTTAGTAAGGCTACACCTAGAGTACTGCATCCAATTTTGGTCACCACACTATAAAAAAGGATATTGAGACTCTAGAAAGAGTGCAGAGAAGAGCAACCGGGATGATGAGGGGACTGGAGGCTAAAACATACGATGAACGGTTGCAGGAACTGGGCCTGGCTAGTCTAGTGAAGAGAAGGACCAGAGGAGACATGAGAGCATCTTCCAATATTTGAGGGGCTGCCACAGAGAGGAGGAAGGAGGTCAAGCTATTCTCCAAAGCCCCCGAAGGCCAGACAAAGAATAATGGATGGAAACTGAACAAGGAGACATTCAACCTGGAAATAAGGAAGAATTTCCTGACAGTGAGAACAATCAACCCATGGAACAGAAGTTGCCTTCAGAAGTTGTGGGAGCTTCATCCCTGGAGGCTTTCAATAAGAGACTGGACTGCAATTTGTCAGAAATGGTGTAAGGGCTCCTGTTTGGGTGGGGGGTTGGACTAGATGACCCACAAGGTCCCTTCCAACTCTGTAAATTTGTAATCACATCAAGGACTTTCTCTCAGCATGGCAAATTCCCTCTGCCAAACTAACAAAGGATGCCTTGAACCAAGCAGCCAAGCCAACAATATTTATTGCTGCTTATTAAAACACTAGCTGAGCACAAGTTTTTTTTTTAAAAAAAATTCCTTTGTTCAAGATGTGCATCTATTCACCTGCTGAGTAATGAATATGTCAGGGTGGTTTTATAAGCAACCGATAACATTTCCATCATTGGGGTCAGGAAAAAAAAAAAGAATAATTGATAGCAGGGATTTCAAGACAAGGTATTTCAGAGTGGTCCTTGAGTTACGACCACAATTCAGCCCCAAATTTTCGTTTGCTAAGCCAGACATTGGTTAAATGAATTCCTAAACAAGAGTTAAGTGAGCTTCGCTCCATTTCACAATCTTTCTTGCCACAGTCCTTAAGTGAAATCACTGAAGTTCTTAAGTTAATGACATGGTCGTTAAGTGAATCTGGCTCTGGTAATTTTGATCAGTCGTTAAGTGAAGACTATCTGTAATTTGGATTAAAGCTGAGGAGAGGCAGAAGATAAAGGGGACTTCCTTAGAAAATATCAACCAGGTTTATCCCTGCTTAGCTTGCCATCCAGAAAAGATCAGCTGGGTGGAGCCCTTGACTCCAAAAACATGAGGGCTAGAAACTTGACTTCGGTTTGAAGCAATTAAGGAGGACAATCTGAAAAATGAACTGTTGTAAAACGAGGAAAGTAAACTTGAATTATTTCTATTAACAATCATACAAGGAACAGGTGAAGTACAGGTAATCCTCATTTTTGAGGTGACTTATGACCGTTTTTCACACTTACGACTGATACAGATCACGTTACCCCAGAGTCACGTGATCAAAATTCTCGGGAATTTGGTGTCGGCAAAAAGATTGGGATTGTGTTTATATAATACAATAGACCCTGTTTTTTGTTTTGTCCTTCTTATTCATCCCATTATTCCGGGGCTGAAGGATGGGGATAAACATTAAAACAGCAGAAATTGAGTTAACCAGAAAAATACAATTCTCGCAGGTTTTCTTAAAAGACTTCGTTGGCAACTTGGAAGAGAACAGATTACCATGGCTTTCTTTCCCAGCCAAGAAATTCACATGAAACGGCCTGAAACTGACATTGCTGGTTTAGATGTGAGACAGGGCGTTCGCACGATCGACAATCCTGAGAACGGGATGCCAAGCTATCCTTGTCAACCTATCTATCACTTTTTCTCTCTATGTGCGAAAACAGCCACTCGGAAAAACTAGCTCTTTTGAAAATAAACTCCAAAAATAAATTCCAAGTTATTTGCTTGGAAGTGAGAGAATTAAGATTCATCTGAATGTGTTAAAATGCACAATGCCAGCTTTTTTTTTTACCTGTTATTTGGAAAAGGCTGGGTTTTTAAAAATAGCTCCTTTCACAAACATGTTTGTTTGGTGCTGGATGATTTAGTGGGTTTGTTTTTAAAAAAATTGCATCAATAAAATAAATTCAGATCCGAGGCGTTATTTTTAGTCTGATTTCTTATTTCATGCCTCCTTGTTTTCTACCTATACATGTGTTTAAAGGGAAAGTAAACTTGAGTTACTTCTATTAATAATCATACAAGGAACAGGTGAAGCACAGGTAATCCTCATTTTACAACAGTTCATTTAGTGACCATTCAAAGTTCTACCAAGTTCTACCAAGAGCCTTGGTAGTACAGTGGTCTAAAGCACCCTGTTATTAAGACCAGCTGCCTGCAATTACTGCAGGTTCGAATCTTGCCAAGGCTCAAGGTTGACTCAGCCTTCCATCCTTTCGAAGGTAGGTAAATTGAGGACCCAGTTTGTGGGGGCAATAAGCTGACTTTGTATAAATATACGAAGGATGAAGGCTATTGCTTAACGCATTGTAAGCCGCCCCGAGTCTCCGGAGAAGGGCGGCATATAAATCAAATTAAAAAAGTAAGTTACAACGGCACTGGAAAAAAGTGATTTAGGACCGTTTTTCACACTTACGACCGTTGCAGGATCCCCAGGGTCAGGTGATCAAAATCCAGATGCTTGGCAACTGGCATGTACTTATGACAGTTGCTGTGTCATAAGTCAAAGGATAACTTTTTGGAACCTTCTGTCAAGCAAACTCAACGGGGAAGCCAGATTCAGTTAAGAACCGTGTTGCTAACTTAACTGCAGCAACAGTGGCAAAAAAGGTCATGAAATGGGGAGAAAACTCACTTGACAAATGTTTCACTTAACAACATAAACTTTGGCCTCAATTATGATCATATGTCAAGGACTGCCTAGACTTGCAAAGCTTTATATTTTGGGTTTCAGGCCAATATTTAGCGACAGAAAAACCCTGGCACTTAATGCCTATATTCACACAGCAAGCAAACAAAGTTAGATAAAAGCTTAAATGTTGCACACGCTCCTTCCATAAACTGCTAAATCTCTGTTTATCTGTGTTTAACCTTTAACTCTGCTAAATGACACATCATAGGACAACAATTTTTGAACCAAGATACTTCAAACGGGCTCACTTAGAGAATGCATCCAAAATCCAGAACCCTCGAGTCCTGTGGAATTAAAATTTGGCAAAATTTTATGCCAAAACAGCGTTTGATGGGATAATAAAAAATGTCAAAGAGGATTAGGGGACTGGAGGCTAAAACAGATGAAGAACGGTTGCAGGAACTGGGAATGGCTACTTTAATGAAAATAAGGACTAGGGGTGGCTTGAGAGCAAACTTCCAATAGCTGAGGGGCTGCCCCAAAGAAGAGGGGGTCAGCCTATTCTCCAAAGCTCCTGAAGGCAGGAGAAGAAGCAATGGATGGAAACTAATCAAGGAGAGAGAGAGAGAGAGAGAGAGAGAGAGAGAGAGAGAGGGAAGGAAGGAAGGAAGGAAGAAGGGAGGGAGGAGAGATAAGGATGAAAGAGGGGGAGGGAGGAGAGGGATGGATGGATGAGAGGGAGGGAAGGAGTGTGGGGAAGGAAGGAGAGAATGGGTGGATACGTAGACAGAAGAAATGGAGGAAGGAAGGAAGGAAAGAGAAAGAGAGGGAGGGAGAGGGAGAGAGAGAAAGAAAGAAAGAAAGAAAAAAAGAAAGAAAGAAAGAAAGACGGAGGGAAGAGAGATAAGGATGAAAGGGAGAGAGGGAGGAGGGAGGGATGGATGGATGGATGGATGGATGGATGGATGGATGAGAGGGAGGGAAGGAAGGAAGATGAATAGAGAGGGAAGGAGGGTGGGGAAAGGAAGGAGAGAGTGGGTGGATGGATAGACCGAAGAAATGGAGGAAGGAAGGAAGGAAAGAGAAAGAGAGGGAGGGAGAGGGAGAGAGAAAGAAAGAAAGAAAGAAAGAGGGAGGGATGGAGGGAGGGAGGAGAGATAAGGATGAAAGGGAGGGAGGGAAGAGAGGTATGGATGGATGGATGAGAGGGAGGGAAGGAAGGAAGATGAATAGAGAAGGAAGGAGTGTGGGGAAGGAAAGACAGTGGGTGGATGGGTAGACAAGAAATGGAGGAAGGAAGGAAGGAAGGAAAGAGAAAGAAAGAGGGAGGGAGGGAGAGAAAGAAAGAAAGAAAGAAAGAAAGAAAGAAAGAAAGAAAGAAAGAAAGAAAGAAAGAAAGAAAGAAAGAAAGAAAAGAAAGATTTCAGTTCTTGCCTCCAGAAGTTGTGGATGCTGCATCACTGGAGGTTTTTAAGAAGCGATTGCTCGTGGATGAACTCCATTTGTCTGAATGGAGCTGCTCACGGGAGTGGAGCTTCACACGCGTGTGCTGGCCCATCGCTCGTGTGGCCTGGTTTCAAACAGGCCGCAGTCCGGGAGAGGGCCAGGGCCCGGGGGATTGGGGACCCCTCCTCTACCAACCAGGAAATGTGCCATCATCTTAATTTACTGCATCTTCCCAGCCTCAAGACCCACCATTAGCATTCAAGGATGAAGGCATTTTACGGAAGGCTCCTCCAGGGTCCTTATGGATCTAGCATGGCCTGAAGGAAGAGATGGAGGCTGGGCCTTGAAGATGCTCAAGTAGTCTTGATGTCACCCCCATATTAGGTACTCATTATTTGGTAATTACCCCCACAAACCCAAGCCCTTGGTTCCCCATTTCCCCTTACCACACATTCAACTGGGAGGGCCTTCAGAGGGGATCCTTGATTCTCTCCGGGCTTGGGTGTTTTCTTGCAGTCGTTTCATCACCCAAACTAGGTAGTCACTAGCACTGATGATGTTACCTAGTTGGGTCATGAAATGTCTCCAACAAAACATCCAAGCTCAGAGAGCATCAAGGACTCCACAGTCTCCTCCTCCTCTTCCTCTTCCTCCTCCTCCTCCCATTCTCCCTCTCCACAAACCCTCCTCCCTTTTAGCACTGATGACAATACCTAGTTGGGTCATGAAATGTCTCCAACAAAACATCCGAGCTCAGAGAGCATCAAGGACTCCACAGTCTCCTCCTCCTCTTCCTCTTCCTCCTCCTCCTCCCATTCTCCCTCTCCACAACCCTCCTCCCTTCTAGCACTGATGACATAACCTAGTTGGGTCATGAAATGTCTCCAACAAAACATCCGAGCTCAGAGAGCATCAAGGACTCCACAGTCTCCTCCTCCTCTTCCTCTCCTCCTCCTCCCTCCTCCCATTCTCCCTCTCCACAAACCCTCCTCCCTTCTAGCACTGATGACATAACCTAGTTGGGTCATGAAATGTCTCCAACAAAACATCCGAGCTCAGAGAGCATCAAGGACTCCACAGTCTCCTCCTCCTCTTCCTCTTCCTCCTCCTCCTCCCATTCTCCCTCTCCACAAACCCCTCCCTTCTAGCACTGATGACATAACCTAGTTGGGTCATGAAATGTCTCTAACAAAACATCCGAGCTCAGAGAGCACCAAGGACTCCACAGATTCCTCCTCCCTCCTCCTTCGCAATCCCCACTCCCTTCTAGCACTGATAACATAACCTAGTTCGGTAGTGAAACGTCTGCCAGAAAACAATCCCTAACCCTAACCCACTGGCCCACCGCTCGTGCAACTTGAGCTATGCGTGCTTGCTCCGGCCAGCCGTTCATACGGCCCAATTCCGAATAGGCCCCCGCCCGATAGTGGGCCGTGGCCCCGTGGCTCAGGGCTGCAAGTTTACATCGAAATGAGTAACGAGTGTCATGCTGTGGCAGGACACACCTTTTGCGCAGGCATGCCACATCGGAAGGCATGCGCAAAAGGTGTGCATCAGGACAATCCTGGGACCGCTTTTCAATCTTGCTTCCCTTGCATATATGCCCATCCCATAATAGACAGCTGCCTGTAAATATGCTGTCATAACCCAGTCAGCAAAATTGGATAATAGCTCTCCATTAAGTGTAATCAATCCGAAAGGGTCTTCCAGAAACAATCTATCGTGATTGCATGGTACTTAATAGCTAAATTTACTATTATGGCTCTTGAGCAATATCCTTAAAGACGATGCATTTTAATAAAGGCAGATCTTAAAACCACTCATGGCCAAGCAATCAAGCTTCTTTCGATAAATACAGGGTGCAGGAGACGTGAATTTTACTTCAAGTAGTCCTCGACTTACGACCGTAATTGAGCCTGGAATTATAGTCGTAAGATGTGTCAGATGTTAAGTGAGTGGAGCGGTGGCCTAGAGGTGGAGCTCTCGCCTCACCATCAGGAGGCTGCGAGTTCGATCCTAGGTAGAGGCAGATATTTCTCTCTCTGGGCACAATGAGAATATATCTGCTGAATAAAACTCCGCATTGGCAACAAGAAGGGCATCTGGCCAGTAAAACCTCTGTTAGCTCCATTTAGTTGCCCAGACTCCACCCGGCAATTGTAGTTGATTAGTTTCCATCTGTTGCTTCTTCCTTTTTTTTTCTTCATACCCTTTATCTCCTTGTCCTGTGTAATATTTCTATTTAATTCTTCCAGCGTCAATATAAATAATAATGGAGACAGAGGACATCCTTGTCTTGTGCCTTTCATTATGTTGACCTTTTCAGTCATGTCTCCATTTACCATCACCTTTGCAGTTTGTTTATAATATATTGTCTTAATCATATTTTTTTTTAATTTGATTTATATGCCGCCCTTCTCCGGAGACTCAGGGCGGCTTACAATGCACTAAGCAATAGCCTTCATACTTTTGTATATTTATACAAAGTCAGCTTATTGCCCCCACAACTGAGTCCTCAATTTACCTACCTTAGAAAGGATGGAAGGCTGAGTCAACCTTGAGCCTTGGTGAGATTTGAACCTGCAGTAATTGCAGGCAGCTGGTGTTAATAACAGAGTGTTTTAGACTACTGTACTATCAAGGCTCCTTTATATTAATAAATCTCTCCCCAAAGTCCATAACTTTTAGTTGCGTCAACATAAACATCCAATTCACATTATCGAATGCCTTCTGTGCATCTAGGAAAATCAACACCATTCGCCTCTCCGAGTGCACTTCACAGTATTCCAGTGTATTCAAAATTATTCTCATATTGTCTTTAATTTGCAACAGATAAAAAACTATAGGCTGATATCCCAGTTGAATGCGGATTATAAAATATTTACTTCAATAACGGCAGAAAGATTGAAGAGATTGTTAAATCAATTTATACACACCAGACCAAACTGGTTTCTTATCAATCTGTTGCTTCTTGTCCTCAGGTGCTTTGGTGAATAGCCTGACTCCATCCTCCCTTCTTTAGATAGTGGAATATTATAAATATCCAAATATATCTATAACTGTTCTTTGGAAAAATCAATGTATTTGCCCAGAGTCTCCATAACCTCAAAGCTGATCTAATGTGAAAGCTGTTGACAGCGGAAGTAACAATTCCCCGTGGGTTTACGCACATCATATTTTACAAAGAATTTAATATTTGGATCTCTAAGGCACCAAAATGTGACTCACCAGAGTATTTGAGGAGTTATAATCTTCCGCAGATTTATCTGGAAGAAAAACAGATTCTCGTCAGATAATTAGGCATGCCAGAGACCACTCAAATCAAACCAGCAAAAAAGGGAAACGTTAAAACAGGAATTTAATCATTCAGATGCACATCTAATTGTATGCTTGTGGAAGACTCCGATACCCATAGTTTGCCATGCCGAAGAGTGGTCCTGACATCATATCTATATCCCTTGGGATTCACAGCTTTGCTAGCGGTAAGGCAGAAGAATGAAGAAGCTTAGAATGACAAAATAACAGAGTTGAAAGGGACTTCGAAGGTCTTCTAGTCCAACCCTCTGCTCAACCAATCTCCTCCTGAAAACCTCCAGTGATGAAGCACCCACAGCTTCTGGTGGCAAGTTGTTCCACTGATTAATTGTTCTCACTGTCAGGAAATTTCTCCTTAATTCCAGGTTGCTTCTCTCCTTGATTAGTTTCCACCCATTCTTTCTTGTCTTGCCTTCAGGTGCTTTGGAGAACAGCTTGACTCCCTCTTCTTTGGGGCAGCCCCTCAAATATTGGAAGACTGCTATCATGTCACCCCAAGTCCTTCTCTTCATTAAACTAGACATTCCCAGTTTGTGCAACCGTTCTTCATACATTTTAGCCTACAGTCCCTTAATCATCTTTGTTGCTCTTCTCTTCACCCTTTCCAGAGTCTCAACATCCTTTTTATATTGCGGTGACCAAAAAACTAGATGCAGTATTCCAAATTTGGTCTTACAGTATCTTTAGTCTGCACAGGGGTTAAATCATGCAGTGAATGATCTATCTATCTGCATCTAAGATACTGTCTTTTTAATTTAATTTAAAGATACTGTCTTTATACTTTTTAATATTATACTTTAATAGAAGTATTTTTATTCAGGTATTTTGAATTCAGCCCTTCAGACAATTGTTGCTCAATTGTTCCAAACTTTATTTATTTATTTATTTATTTATTTATTTATTTATTTATTTATTTATTTATTTATTAATTAATTAATTATCATATTTGTATACCGTCCTACTCCCGGAGGACTCAGGGCAGTGAACAGCCAAGGTAAAAATACAAAGAACATACAAAAGTTAAAAACTATTAAAAATAAATTAAATAATTTATTTAATTATTAAATAATTAATTAAATATTAATTAATCAGTTCTTTGTTTTTTTATCAAAATATCAAATCAATGCGTGACAGGGTGGATAAAAATCAATGATTTTTTAAAAAAAATAAAACAAATCAGATTTTTTTGATTTAAATCGGATTTTTTTGATTTAAATCGGAATTTTTTTTATTTTTATCGAATTTATTTTAATAAAAAACTTTTGAGGTAAAAGTCTATCGTAAGATAGTTTTCTATTTAAGATACATAAATAATTTAGTTTATTCAGCATGAAATGGAGCTTAGTTATGTAGCAGGAGGCTGTATATTCTGCAACACTGGGACTATCGGTGAGTCAACAGTGGGTCAAAGGAGTAGCAGAGATGACAGTTGCTCTTTAAAAATTATGATTTAAATCGAGTTGATTTAAATCAAGCCTTTTTACTAGTTATTTAAATCATGATTTAAATTGTTATTTCAATCAACTCGATTGAAATCAAATCCACCCTGATGCGTGAACAGTGTGGCACCTGAGTGTCATACATCCGGATACAAATAAAACTAATCAAGTTAATCATAATCCTTACGTTCAATCCGCTTATATTTCTTTTATTTTATTTTATTTTATATTGGATTTCTATACCGCCCTTCTCCCTAAGGACTCAGGGCGGTGTACAGCCAGATTAAAAAAACATGCAGAACAAATATTAAAAACAATTAAAAGATATATAAATTTGGCCCAATTAAAACTCATTTACCAATTAAAAACGTTTAAAACATTTAAAAACAGTTAAAAATTTCATCTTAAGCCAGCCCGGCTTGTTTAAATAAATGGGTTTTAAGGGCGCGACGGAAGGCACTGAGGTCTTGGATTCTCCTTATCTCTGGGGGGAGCTGATTCCAGAGGGTGGGTGCCCCCACAGAGAAGGCCCTCCCCCTGGGGGTCACCAGCCTGCATTGTTTGGCTGATGGCACCCCGAGGAGGCCCTCTCTGTGGGAGCGCACGGGTCGCTGGGAGGTCGTCGGTAGCAGCAGGCGGTCTCGCAGATAGCTAGGCCCTATGCCATGGAGCGCTTTAAAGGTGATAACCAACACCTTGAAGCGCACCCGGAAGACAACTGGGAGCCAGTGCAGCTCGCGCAGGAGCGGTGTTACATGGGAGCGCCATGCTGCTCCCGTCACTACCCGCGCTGCTGCGTTCTGGACCAGCTGGAGCCTCCGGGTGCTCCTCAAGGGGAGCCCCATGTAGAGAGCGTTGCAGTAGTCAAGGCGAGAGGTGACGAGGGCATGAGTGACTGTGCACAGGGAATCCCGATCAAGAAAGGGCCGCAACTGGCGAATCAGGCGAACCTGACAAAAGGTCCCCCTGGTTACAGCTGTCAGATGATCCTCCAAGGACAGCTGCATATCCAGGAGGACTCCCAGATTGCGAGCCCTCTCTGTGGGGGCCAATGACTCGCCCCCAATAGTCAGTGATGGAGTCAACTGACTATATCGGGATGCCGGGAGCCACAGCCACTCAGTCTTGGAAGGGTTGAGCTTGAGCCTGTTCCTCCCCATCCAGACCCGTACAGCCTCCAGGCACTGGGACATCACTTCAAGGGCATCGTTGGGGTGGCCTGGGGTGGAGATGTACAGCTGGGTGTCATCAGCGTACTGGTGGTATCTCACCCCAAAGCCACGGATGATCTCACCCAGCGGCTTCACATAAATGTTGAACAGAAGGGGCGAGAGGACCGATCCCTGCGGCACTCCACAAATGAGAGGCCTCGAGGTCGACCTCTGCCCCCCTGCCAACACAAACTGCGACCGGTCGGAGAGAAAGGAGGAGAACCACCGCAACACGGTGCCTCCCACCCCCAACTCTTCCAGCCGGTGCAGCATGATACCATGGTCGATGGTATCAAAAGCCGCTGAGAGGTCTAACAGGACCAGAACAGAGGAACAACCCCTGTCCCGAGCCCTCCAGAGATCATCAACCAACGCGACCAATGCCGTTTCTGTGCTGTGCCCAGACCTGAAACCCGACTGGAACGGATCTAGATAATAATGCATACTTATATTAATAATAATGCATACTTATATTAAGTTATAATCTATCATTGTTCCATTATTCCACATTTTCTCTTATTACTTTCATTTTATGAGGTAAAAAAGTATATACGCCAGTGATGGCTAACCTTTTTGCCATCGTGTGCCAAAAGTTGGGGTCGTACGGGGGGTGTCACATGGGCACATGCCCACACCCAAAATTCAATGCCCCCCCACGCGCATGCGCGCCCGACCACCCTCCCATGCTCCCCCTCCGGTTTTGGCACGTGATGGCCCGGTAGGCCCGTTTTTCACCCTCTTCAGGCTCCAGAGGCTTTCTTGGAGCCTGGGGAGGGCAAAAACAGCCTCCCCCTGCCCCTGAGAGGCCGGAAACAACCCGTTTTCCAACTTCTGGTGGGCCCAGAAGGGCCGAAAATCAGTTGGCCGGCACACGCATGTGCATGGGAGCTGAGCTAGGGCAACGCTCATGTGCCCACAGATATGGCTCCGTGTGCCACCTGTGGCACGCATGCCATAGGTTTGCCATCACTGGTATATGCTAATGTTCCCCCTTTTCTCATTTCTATCACTTACTCTAACTTTTGATCATATTACCCTTCGTTAAGAAACTTTTTCTTTCTTTCTTATCTAACTTCTAATCATGTCACCTACTTAAAAAAAGAAAAAAGGAAAAGAAGAAGAGAGCGAGAGAAAAGCAAAAGTAACTCTGAACAACAACAGAGGAAAAAAATCATCCATCTCTTTCCCGCTTCAATACTTTAATTGCTATGCTTTTTTTTTTTTTTTTTTTTTGGACTTGTCTCCCAAATTCCTCTCTTAAATCTTTACTTGCTTCTTGGATGTTTAATCTAAATCAGGGGGTCAGCAACCTGCGGCTCTGGAGCCGCATATGGCTCTTTCACCCCTCTGCTGTGGCTCCGTCACTCAAAATATGCGTCACAACCGCCAATGTGCGACACCCGCTGGCAGGCGATTTATTGCGCTTTTCAACCCCCGGTAGGCCAACGATGGATAAATCCAAGAAAAGAAAAGACATTTAATGCAACGACAGATGCTAGTTTTGTGGACCCTCAAGAAATAGTCAGGCACGGGAAGGGTTTTTGTGGCTCCCGGTGTTTTCTTTTCTGTGGGAAACAGGTTCGAATGGCTCTTTGAGTGTTTAAGGTTGCACACCCCTGGACTAAGAATTCCTCCCATCTCTACCCTCTTCCACTGCCTAATTTCTAACATTTCTAACATCACATCAGTTCTCACGCTGCTTTAATTTGTAGAAGTATGACTGTGTTAGTTAACAGTACAGCAAAGACCAACAGTTTATTTTGAGATTAGATCTCATGAAATATTTCTCTGCACCAGATGGAGGACGGATCCTTGTGAAGGAGAGAGGGAGGAATTATAAAACTTAGACAACATAGAAATGAACCTCAGAAGCCAGAGATAACGATAATTGCAGGTAGTCCTCGCGTTATGATCACAATAGACGAATAGAATTTTGATCATGGGAGCGCACTTTCATAAGTGTGAAAAATGGTCATAACGCACTTTCTTTTCAGCGCCGTCGTAACTTCGGACGGTCACTAAACGATTGCTATAAGTCAAGGACTACCTGAATTTATTCCTTAGGCCAGTGATGGCTAACCTTTTTGTCGTCGCGTGCCTACACCCGTAATGCATTGCGCGCACGACTCCCCCCGTACCCCACCTCGCACATGTGTGTGACTCAACCGTGTGACCCCTGACCCCCCTTACGCGACCCCACCGTGCCCCGTTTTGGGCCTAGCAGGTGTCCCTGCAGCCTCCTGGGACCAAAAATGGGCCACAGGGAGGGGGCACTATACTCCCCCGTGCCCCATTTTGGGCCTAGCAGGCTTCCCTGCAGCCCCCTGGACCAAAAATGGGCCATAGGGAGAGGGCACCATACTCCCCCGTGCCCTGTTTTGGGCCTAGCAGGCTTCCCTGAAGCCTCCTGGGACCAAAAATGGGCCACAGGGAGGGGGCACCATACTCCCCCGTGCCCCATTTTGGGCCTAGCAGGCTTCCCTGCAGCCTCCTGGGACCAAAAACGGGACGTGGGGGAAGCACCGCACCCCTTTACGCTCCCCCCTGCCCCTTGCGCATGTGACCCCCCCCCCCCCCCCGGGGCACACGTGTGCGTCTCCCGCATGAGCCCCGCCCCCCCCGCACATGCACAGGAGAGCAGAAAATCAGCTGGCCGGCGGGAGGCACGCGTGCATGCGGGGTGGAGCTGAGATGGGCGACGGCTGATGTGCCCACAGAGAGGGCTCTCCGTGCCACAGGTTCGCCATCACGGCCTTAGCCGATTGGCCAAGATCAACGCAAGTTCTCTGGAGATCTCAAAAACATGCCAAGCCTATCAAGGCCCACCTATTACCTCCACAAGAACAGCCTCTTCCTGATCTGGTCTAAAAACAAAGTTACCTACCTGTGAAACTCATGTATTTCTGGCTGTTCGAGGTCTTTTTGGAATTGTAGAATTCGAGAACGTCGAGGACGGCTTGAGGATTCTTCTTCTGCTCCAGTTTGGTGATGTTGGACGTCTGGAGCAAACGGGCCCATTGCTCCGGCATGCCCTAGAAATAACCATTTTTAAAGAAAGAACGATCAGTACTGACCGTGAAAGAGCCAGGGACAGATCGCTATGCTCAATAAAGGGAAAATTTCCTCAAAGATCGGCAATTTGGAAATTCATTTATTTTGAGATAGCATCGAAACCTGACACGCTGTCTGCTATCCCGTTTAACGTGTTGCCTGAACCTAGCGAGTTATGCTCTGTTTAATAACCTATGGTTGACCAAGCTATACAGGGCAGCCCTCAAAAGACACAGGCCACTCTTTGAAAGACAGCAAAGTCCACATTCTGTTCTGCCCCAGCTACAGACCCCAACGAACGCAGCACACACAAACCATTCAAACCTTAGTTTACTAAATAAACTAAATTAAACTAAATTAAACTAAATAAACAACGGCTGTTAATTAACTGCGTTAACAGCCGCCAAGAATCCAAAGAATAATAACTGAAAGCTTACTGTGGTTGGCAGAATGCCCGGAAGCAATTTGCAGGAAGCTGATAAGATAAGCAAGACAAGACACGAAGGTATGTGAACGAAGTTGTTCCCTGCAAATTACTTCAGTCGGCATTCCTCCTTAAATAGGCTAAGGGAGTGGCCAATTAGCTCCAAAGCCTTACTCTTGAGGAGACTTCCTCCTAAGGAGCCACTCCTGCCTTTTGACAGCTCTGCGCACCCGTGCATCGAGAAGAGGCTCCTCCTCTTCTTCCTCTTCACCCATGGAAGCTTCTGGAGGTTCTGAAGGCCCTGGCTGAATCCCCGCCTTTGGCACCACATCTTCTCCAGCCTCCTCATTTTCTGACTCGAGTGCCAGCTGCATAGGCTGCTGGCACAGCACCACACCAGCCTCCTCACTGTCGGAATCAGCTGCTAGCTGCACAGGCTGCGTACGGGCCACAACACATTTGCTGAGAGGAGAGGGATATGACCTCATCTACCTCCAATCCACAACACAATCCAAGAAGCTTTTTCGGCTGTGACTGGATGGTGAGGAATGGAAGGGTTTATATTCCTTGCAGACAGCTGGTCCTTTGCATCCTTTTAGAGAGTCGCTGAGGCCACTTGGAGGCTGGTCTGTGTCCTCAGGGTCACCGGAGTGGTGCAAATAGGTGTGGAGCCTTCTTGGAACTGCTGTGTTGTGTTGTGGAGTTGTGCTTTCTGCAGGATGTTTCAGCAGTTCCAAGAAAGCTCCACACCCATTTGCACCACTCCGGTGACCCTGAGGACACAGACGAGTCCGTTGTCAAGCATCTGAATTTTGATCAACTGGCCATGGGGTGCTGCAACTGTTGTAAATGTGACAGTCGTAAGTCGTTTTTTTTCAGTGCCGTTGAAACTTTGAACAGTCAGTAAATGAATGGTTATAAGTTGAGGACTACCTGTATACGATCTTTGAGGATTTTAAACAAAAAAAAAAACCTTCAGTGAATTTTTCTTTTAACTAGTGAGGAGAATTCAAGGGAAGAAATGATGTCGTGGGAGCCACGGAGCTTACACAACTGCTGTGAGTTGTACTACAAGGTCAGGGGTCTGCAACCTTAAATCCTCAAAGAGACATTTGGACCCGTTTCTCACAGAAAAGAAAACTCCGCGAGCCACAAAACCTGGGTGGGCGTGGCCAACTCGACGTCAATCACTTCCACCAGTCACATGACACCGCCCCTAGCCACGCCTACCCAGCCGGTCATTAGGGCAGAGAACTGGTTGTTAAAAAATACCAGTAACCACAAAACCCTTTTGACATCTCTCCCTCCCTCGCTCCCCCCCCTGTATCTCTCTATGTCTCTCTCTCTCCCCCCCCTCTGTCTCTGCCCTGACCGCTTCTCCATCCCCCACCGTTGCCCTTCTCAGGCCAGGTGAGGAGTGACTACTGTAACACTCTCTACATGGGGCTCCCCTTGAGGAGCACCCGGAGGCTCCAACTGGCGCAGAGTGCGGCCGCGTGGGTGGTTATGGGAGCGACATGGCGCTCCCATGTAACACCTCTCCTGCACGAGCTGCACTGGCTCCCGGTGGTCTTCCGGGTGCGCTTCAAGGTTTTGGTTACCACCTTTAGAGCGCTCCATGGCTTAGGGCCTGGTTATTTACGGGACCGCCTGCTGCCGTAAACGGCCTCCCACCGGCTGGTACGCCCTCACAGAGAGGGACTCCTCCGGGTGCCGTCGGCCAAACAATGTCGGCTGGCGGCCCCCAGGGGGAGAGCCTTCTCTGTGGGGGCACTACTATCTGGAACGCGCTCCCCCCGGAGATACGGAGGATCCCGGATCTACGCACCTTCCGCCGCGCTCTCAAGACCTTTTTATTTCACCAGGCTGGTCTGGCCTAACCTCTCCCATTCTTTTTTTAATGTAAATTTTAATGTAAATTTTAATTTGTTCTTAACCTGGGGTTTTAAATTTGTCTTGGGCTAAATTGATTTAATTTGATTTTACTTCTGCTCTTAAATTCTTGTATTCTATGTGTTTTATCCTGTGCCTGTTCACCACCCTGAGTCCTTCAGGTCCTCATCCTGAGGAGTAGGGCGGTATACAAATTAAATAAAATGAAAACGAAAAAATGACTGGGAGGGGAGGGCGAGGGGCGGAGCCAGCCAGTGGTGGGATCATCCAACAGGGAGCCACAGCAGAGGGCCCAAAGAGCCGCATGCGGCTCCAGAGCCACAGGTTGCTGACCCCCGCACAAGGTTATTCCACAACTGATAACATCATGGCCTACACTAGAAGCCAAGCCTGCCGTTCTTACTGTAAATTCGCCTGTCACGGCGTCAAATCCAACGTGGATCGTGTGTTCGAAGTCTGACGGGAGGGAGATTTCCGGCCGTTCTTTCTCCTTCTTCTTGTTGGCTGTTGTGAAAAAGAAACCAAATTAAGCCAAATAAAATTAATCAGGAGAATTGTTATTTTTATAATGATTGTTATTTCTTTGCCACCTGATGGCCAGCAATTTACATTTTTGCCGGACACCGGAGTTTACTTCCGTTTTCAAGCAAAAAAAAAAACACCCCACCCAATTGCAAAGAAAGGATTTGCTTAATGACTGCTACCTTCACTTAACAACTGCTGCTAAAAAGATCGCAAAATTGGGCACAGATGCCCCTCTACAGGGGCAGGAGGACTACTATCACTACAGGTAGTCCTCGACTTATAACAGTTCATTTAGTGACCATTCAAAGTTACAATGACACTGAAAAAAGGACCATTTTTCACACTTATGACCGTTGCATTAATTTTTTTTTTTTTTTTGATTTATATGCCGCCCTTCTCCGGAGACTCAGGGCGGCTTACAATGCGCTCAGCAATAGCCTTCATACTTTTGTATATTTATACAAAGTCAGCTTATTGTCCCCCCACAACCGGGTCCTCAATTTACCTACCTTAGAAAGGATGGAAGGCTGAGTCAATCTTGAGCCTGGTGAGAATTGAACTCGCAGTAATTGCAGGCAGCTGGATGTTAAATGCTGCCTTAGTAGGAGGCATTAGCCTCCTACGCCACTCAGGCTCCTATCCCTATGGTCACATGATTTACATTCAAATGCTTGACAACTGACTCACATTTATGACAGTTGCAGTATCCTGGGGTCATGTTTTTGCAACCTTCCGACAAGCAAAGAAAATGGGGAAGCCAGATTCACTTAACAAATTTCTCACTTAGCAACATAAATTCTGGCCTCGATTGTGGTGGTAAATTGAGGACTACCTGTACACTCAATAAACCACCACCAAACCAGCCACATTATGGTCAGTTCCAAATGAAATATCAAGCCACGATTTCCTTAGCTATAGATTGCCGAACAAATACCCACTGAGAATGTGGAACACATTTAAGCCATAAATTGTGGTTTACAGTCCACATTAAGCTGGGTTCACACAACACCCTCCCCCCTCCATCAACAAAGCCACCAGCATTCTGGCTTAAACTGCAAATGTAATTAACCTGTTTTCTGGATTCACACAAGATACTGAATCAGAAACTAACCACAGACCAGGTCAGTGCAAAATGCTAAGCCAGGAACAAACTAACCTTATTTAGAATGCTGGGCTTCTGTAGATATTAGGTCTTTAACTAATTCAATTCAACATGTTGTGAGAATCTAAGCAAGCCCCCTTCTTTTTATAAACTCTTTTTACAGAATAGATTAGAATAGAATAACAGAGTTGGAAGGGACCTTGGAGGTCTTCTAGTCCAACCCCCTGCTTAAGCAGGAAACCTTACATCAGGAACTTACCAGAGCTTTCTAACTGAGCTCCCATCTCCCGTTGGGTTTTCTCTGTGCAAATTCCACGAAGGAAACACAAAATTTGCTTTTATCCACTCAAAAATCCCACCTTCATCTCCCATTGGTTGATCCGGGGAGTGGTAGAAAATCCCAGGATCTACTAAGACTTGCAGATTTAAAATCCGGCCATGCTTGTAAGGGACTTTTGGCATCGTAATCCCTACACATCAACAGGTCCCCAATTTAAGGGAAATCTTCTCTTGGAAGCTATTTTCTGCCTTTTTATAATAAGCAGTTTAAAAAACCCCGCACAGCAGCGAGGATTAAGAATTCAATTAATTGGCTTGCAAATCTCTTAAGTAAGCAGACATTTAAATTCCTGGTTTTAAGAAGGCTTATCAAAGTGAAAAGGCAAGCAACGGGGTTACTCCGAACAAGAGCCGACATATTAGAATATTAATGACTCTCAACCCTTCCTGTCGTCCAAAACAACCTGTTTTGCAGGAAGATTCCTGAGTTTAAAAGAATTAATGATTTCACGGCCTGCTGAACTAACAGATATTACCGTATATATTCATGGATAAGCCCATCTGCAGATAAGTAGACCTTTGAAATTTTCCATATGGCTTAATTTTTTTAAAATTGGCTTATCGGTGGATAATCCACGGATTATCCATTTTTCAGGGTATTTATTTTGCTTACAAATTTGAGAGTCAGCTTCTCCGTGGATAGGCTTACTGGAAGTAAAGCTAGACCTCGATTTACGACCACAATGTTAGGCCAAAATTTCTGCTCCTAACTGAAACATTCGTTAAGGGAGTTTAGGCCCATTTCACGACCTTTCTTGCCAGCGTTGTTAAGTGAATCACAGCAGTTGTTAACTCAGTAACACGGTAGATCAGTGAATCTGGCTTCCCCCATTGCAGGATGCAAAAGGGGATCACGTGACCCCGGGAAACTGCGACCGTCTTAAATATGAACCAGTTGCCACGTGTCTGAATTTTGATGACAGGGCCATGGAAATGGCGCAGCGGTCGTAAAGTGTGAAAAATAGTCATGAGTCACTTTGTTCAGGGCCGCTGTTACTTCGAACGGTCACTAAGTGAGCGGCTGCAAGTCGAGGACTACCCATCCTTGCAAAAGATCTCGGAAGTTGGGAATGATTGCTGGAATTTCAACATGCGTAGGAGAACCTGCATGATCTCCGGAGGGGGGAGGAGGGGGAGCTGACTGCCATGCGTCAAACTGAGACCGTTTCACAATACTTTACTTCTTTTAAAAAATTGCTTTTTGGGGGGGAATCTGAAAATTGAAACCGATACGAATTGGGAGCAGGAAATGCTATGAGCAAGCAGAGAAGTTCCTCCAATTGAAGACGGAAATATTTTCGCTCAGGGTTTTTCTGAAAACAAAAAAAAATCTCCACACTAAATATACTTTCATTTTATGCTAAAACTGCAATTATCCCACTGTATTCTGAAGGTCTGGTACAATTAAGATTGCTTGAATTCCCCTTCCCTGCCTTTTCCCTTATCTTTTATGCCTTCAATTTGCTACAGGTAGTCCTCGACTTGCAACAGTTCATTTAGTGATAATTCAAAGTTACAACGGCAATGAAAAAAATGACTTTTTCACACTGATGACCAGGGGTGGGCTGCTGGGGGTTCGCAGGGGTTCGGCAGAACCTGTAGCTAAGATTCTGTATAGTTTGGAGAACCCCCAAATCCCACTCCTGTCTGGCCCTGCCTGCCCCTCTCAGGAGTCCCCATGCAGCCCGTTTTGGATGCAGGTAATTGCAGGGCACGCGCGGAGGGTCAGAGAGGGCGAAAAACGGGCCTACCGGAAGTTCGGGAAGGGTGGAAACATGGCCATTTCTGGCTTCCAGAGGGCCTACGGGGCCTGGGGAGGATGTTTTTGTCCTCCCGGAGACTCAAGGAAAGCCTCTAGAGCCCGGGGAGGACAAAAACGCCCACCCACCCCGCCACCATGGTGCAGGAGGCCGACTAGGCCACGCCCACCATGGCCACTCCCACCCAGCAACCAGGCAGAGAACCGCTTGCTAATATTTTTGAAGCCCACCCCTGCTTATGACCCTTACAGCCTCCCTATAGTCACACGTGGTCAAAATTCAGACGCTTGGCAACTGATTCGTATTTATGACGGTCACAGTGTCACGCGAGCCCTTTTCCGAAACGCAAAGTCAATGGGGAAGCCAGATTCACGTAACAACGGTATGATTCACTTAACAACGGTGGCAAGAAAGGTCGTTAAAAGGAGGCAGACTTCGCTTAAAAGATGTTTTACTCAGCAACAGAAATGTTGGGGTCATAAGTCAAGGACTACCTGTACTGCACTAGGAATATTTAAGAGGGGTTTAAGAGGGGAAATAGGATTTAAGCAAACCCTGAAATCAAAGTCTGACTGGATTATATTTTTCGGAAACTTGATGCAGCTTTTTAAACCAGGTTTGGGACCCAGCATTCTGGACTGCAAAGTTTTTCAAAACTATTTGTAACTTTTTTTCAACTCACGTGACTTCAAAGGGTTGTTAAGTGTCCATTCATACCTGGAGGATTACCTGTATAAAGGCAGTCCTTGATTTATGACCACAATTGAGCCCAACATTTATGTTGTTAAGCAAGACAGATAAATGAGTTTTGCCCCATTTTATGACCCTTTTTCTAGCCACAGTTCTTAAGTGAATCACTGAAATTGTTATGTTAGCAACACGGTTGTTAAGCGAATCTGGCTTCCTGATTGACTTTGCTTGTCAGAATGTCGTAAAAGGGGATCACGTGATCCCGGGACACTGCAACCGTCATAAATACGAGTCAGTTGCCAACTGTCTGAATTTTGATCTCATGACCGTGGAAATGCTACATGGTTGTAAGTGTGAAAAACGGTCCTAGGACATTTTTTTTAATGCCGGTGTAACTTTGAATGGTCACTAGACAAACTGTTGTAAGTAAAGGACTACCTGGATTAAGATCTGGGCTGCAAAGATTCAGCGAACCACTAGATGGCATCGCCGAGACACAGAATCTGCTAGCCCTCTGCTGCCCCTAGTGACTGTCTTGGATGTTTGCAGTTTAGTCATCTTCCCTTTATTTGCATGCAAAACATATCATAAATTGCTTGGGGATTTTTCTCCTTCTGCTGAAAGTAATGAGACCCACCCACGCCTCTCATCTCACGAGAGGAAGTCTGACAGACGGATCTGCCTTAAAAGGGGCATCGCCGCAGGCAGCCATCCAACCGATAAAGCATTTTGCAGCACCAGCTGAGAAAAAAAAAAATTAAACCCCCCACTGATTCCTGAGGAATCTAATGCAATAAGTTAGTTCCTTTTTTCAGGTTGCATAACCAAAAATGGAAGTAATTCTGGTGCTGCAGATGATTGGCAGAAAGAGGAAGAGAATTCTGCCTTGATACAGACCGAGAATTGAGGATGATATTTTTTTAAAAAAACACAAAAAAACAGTAACCACCCAGGAACAGAACAGATTAAAAATAAAATAAAAATCTGACTGGTGTGAGTTGGTTTCATCTTGCTTCTCAACTAATCTATATCCTTACTGTTTCTTATTTTTTTATCTTGATTTTTTTAAAACAGGTGGAAGGAATCCTGCATGTAAATAATTAGCATGTCAGGGTAAAAATACTGTAGCTTAAATAATCCTAAACAGGAATTCAGGATGCTGCTTCTGCCAGCACAGTCCATTCATCCAATTTAGGACTGCAAAATATCTTTTTGGCCTTTCAATCAGTGATTTTATAAAAACTGGTTTAATATTTTATTTTGATTTTTTTCTTATTATGGATTATGATGGATTTAGTTCAGTGGTGAAATCCAATTTTTTTTTACTACCGGTTCTGTGGACGTGGCTTGGTGGGCATCGTGTGGCTTGGTGGGTGTGGCGGGGGAAGGATACTGCAAAATCTCCATTCCCACCCAATTCCAGGGGAAGGATACTGCAAAACCTCCATTCCCATCCCTCTCTGGGGCCAGCCAGAGGTGGTATTTGCCGGTTCCCCGAACTACTCAAAATTTCTGCTACCAGTTCTGTCAGAACCTGCTGGATTTCACCCCTGATTTAGTTAGTCATGTATCTATATTAACATATTTTCTTTATATACTCTGTGTGTGTGTGTGTGTGTGTGTGTGTGTGTGTGTGTGTGTGTGTGTATGTATGTATGTATCAGTGGTGAAATCCTCTGCAGATTGCCACTGGTTCGTGCCAAAAGCATTCTGTGTGCGTATGCAGAGTTTTTATGGGTTTTTGAGATTTGTCTATGAGTCTGTCTTTCTGTCTCTCTATTTATCTACCTACCTATCTCTATCATTTATCTCTGTCTGTCTGTCTCTCATCTCTATGATTAATCTCTATATCTCTATATCTCTATCTATCATCTATTTCTATATCTATCTATCATTTATTTCTATATCTCTATCTATCATCTCTATCATCTATCTATCTATCTATCTATCTATCTATCTATCTATCTATCTATCTATCTATCTATCTATCATCTTATTGTATGTATGTATATGTGATTTTTAACCTTGTGTTTTGTCTTTTAACTTTTAAAATTACTAACTCTCTGCATTCTACTGTTCCTGTGTTGGTCTATGACCATAATATTTATTTATTTATTTATCTGACATATTTAAGAAGCGTCCGTCTCCCTCACAGAGGGACTCTGGATGGTGTACAATAAAATATTAAAAGTATAACAACAATACCCTGTTTCCCCAAAAATATGACATCCCCTGATAATAAGCCCAATCGGGCTTTTGAGTGTATGGCAATAAGGCCAAGCGCTTATTTCAGGGTTCCAAAAAAAAATATATAAGACAGGGTCTTATTTTGGGGGAAACACGGTATGTAACATTTAAAACAAGCAACAATTGTTAAAATTAATGAATAGGTGGAGAGACGGCTTAAGGGTACCAACTCTGAATAAGATAATAATGAAATAACCTTCATCGAGATTTGATTGGTTGGAATTTGGAAATTGAGATATTCCCAGTGGACCCTACCATCAAATAATGATCTTTTTGTCTCTGAAGGATGGAAGGTCCGTACAATTTCAGCCTTCAAGGGGTTCCAATCATTTAGAACCTCTATCAAAGCTCATCCATAGAAAGTCTAACCCAGTGTTTCTCTATCTCTGCCCCTTTAAGACCTGAGGACTTCAACTCCCAGAATTCCCCAGCCAGCATGGCTGGCTGGGGAATTCTGGGAGTTGAAGTCCACAGGTCTTAAAGGGGCAGAGACTGAAAAACCCTCAAAACGGAAACAAAATGAACTCTTTTGTAAAGAAAAAAAAAAGAAGAAGAAGAAGAAGAATGAAAGAAATCGCGATACCTTTGTCTCCTGGCAGGATGGAGCGATAAAAACGATCTCTCCGTTTCTTTTCTTCGGGGTTCGGAGGCAGGGGTTTCGAGCCGTGATTGAGGGTCCCCACATCTTTGCCGCTGGAGCAGATCATGGTGCTTGTATTGCGCATGGGAGGTGCTGGCGGCTTGTCTTCTGGATTGGGGCCACTGTTGGACATCTTCAGCAGCAGCTACCGCTAGGACCGAGAAGGAAAGGGCGTAAAACGAGGACCGAGTCAGGCAAACAACCATCGCTTCCGACTGGCGGAGAAATCGGACAAAATGGGGGATGAATTGTGGGCCTTTCTCACACCCCACAGGGTTTTAAAACATTTAAATGTGACTTTTCCTTATTTTTTTCATTTTAACTTCGGGCGCTTGGCAAAGGACTCATACTTATGACGGTTGCAGTGTCCCACGATCGCACGATGATCCCCTTTTTGTGACCTTCTGACAAACAAGTCAGCACGTTCACTTAACAACCGCGTTACATTATAAGAACAACAGGGGTTCGCTTAACAACCATGGCAAGAAAAGTTGTAAAATGGAGCAAGTCCCCACCCCCCCAGGCAGTTTTATTTTATTTATTTTATTTTATTTTATTTATTTATTTATTGGAATTTGTCAAACAAAAACGAGAACGAGAATAAGGGAATAAAAATACAATGACAGGGGCTAGTGCCCTTTATGCACGCCCCCTGTACGGACCACTTTAAGTAGGAAGTCGTTAGGAAAATTTGGGATTGTGCAGAAACGGACAGATTAACTTTAAAACTTAAAGATAAAGAAGGCTCGAAATATTACAGGGCATGGAATAAATTTTACGAGAGACAAGAGGCAGAAATGAGAGGGACATTTATGAATGTCAGTACAACGAAGATGTATAAAACGATGGATATAATATGGAGAAATTTGTAAATAAGATGATGTCAGTAGAAACTTAGTTGAAGTTTTCTTTTATTTCCTTTTGTTTTTGTTTTCGTTGTATTGTTGCAATTACTGTTAACATAGTACAGTTATAGTTATCAGCACGTATGTTATTTATCATTGATCTCTCTCTGATTGTGCTTCATTTGCATTGTTATCCTGACATGGCACTGTCTTTTCAATAAAATTAAATTAAATTTTTAAAAAAGTATGAAGTAAGGTCCACGGAAGTCAAATTGCAATTGAAACTGTGAAAATTTGTAGCCGAGACAATTGAACTAAGTAGGGCATTCCAGACTTTGACAACTCTTATTACAAAAATCGTATTTTTTATAGTCAAGTTTAGAACGAGATACACTGAGTTGGGTGGGGTTACAGTTGAACAATGCCAGTTGCCGGGATCATACTATCATATGTGGTGGTTGTGTAAAGAAGCAAAACAATATTGGGTGAAAATACAAACATGGTTAGAGGGAATGCTGCAGCAACATATAGAGTTAAAACGAGAGATATTCTTATTGGGAATTTTACCAGAGACTTATAGTAAAGAAGATACATATTTGATTATATATATAATAACAGCGGCTAGAATTGTATTTGCACAAAACTGGAAAGCGGATAAAATCCCGTTGGAAGGAGAAATGATGAAGAAAATTTTAGAATGTGCAGAAATGAATAGGTTAACATTGAGAATAAAAGATAAAGAGGAGTCGATGTATTTCAAGACATAGGATAAATTTTATGACTGGTTAGAAAAGAAATATGAATAAGGATATAGAGATAAAATAGAGAATAAATGGGAGAAAACAATTAGAAAAATAGATACCATGTCAAGTAAAAGGAGAAAGGGGAGGGGGGGGTAAAAGGGAAAAAAGTGAGATATTATAAAAACGTACGCAAATGATGAAATAAAAATAAATAATAATTGAATAAGAAATTGAAATGAGAATAAAGATAATTAGGAAATCGGGGCTACTCGGATACCCCTTTAGATTGAATTGAAAAGGGAAACAACAGGAGAGAGGGAAAGGAGTAGAGAGAGAAGGGAGAAGAGAGGAGAGGAGAGGAGAAGAGAAAGAAGAAAGGGAAAAGGAGAGGAAGAAAAGGGAGGGGACCGCCGTGAGCCTTTGGAGAGGGGCGGTATATAAATTGAATAAATAAATAACATAAATAAATAAATGAAAGAAAGAAAGAAAGAAAGAAAGAAAGAAAGAAAGAAAGAAAGAAAGAAAGAAAGAGGAGCAGAGGAGAAAGTTAGAAGGAGGGAAGAAGAGAGGAGTGGGGGAAGAGAAAAGGAAGTAGGAAAGAGAAGGAGAGGAAGAAGGAAGGAAGTAGGAGGAGAAAGAGGAGGAAGAGAAGGGGAGGAGAAGAAGAAAGGTTGGAGTAAAGGTAAAGGGTAAAAGAGCAGTCCCGAAAAAGTCAAAATGAAAAAGAAAAGTCAAAAGAAAAGATGAATGAAAAAATGATTGTACACGTAAATGTGTTTATGAGAAATAAAGATAAAAACCTTTTTGGGGGAAAAAAAAAACAATGCTCTAAAATTGGTCTAGCGTAAATTTCATAAGCTCTTGTTAGCAACACGATGTTTCCAGAAAAAAAGCTTTGTAGAATTAAGTTTACAACACTCAGTGCTTTTTTTAGCAACGCTGTTTCAGTGAACTTTGGAGTATAGCTCATCAGAGATTAAGTGATCTAACCTAGATCAGTGATGGCTAACCTTTTTGCCCTCACGTACCAAAAGTGGGGGTCACGCGGGGGTCGCACGTGGGGGTCGCACGTATGCGTGCCCACTTTTGGCATGTGATGGCACGGTAGGCCCGTTTTTTTGCCCTCCCCAGGCTCCAGAGGCTTTCTAGGAGCCTGGGGAGGGCGAAAACAGCCTTCCCCACCACCCCGGAAGCCCTCCGGAAGCCAGAAATGGCCCGTTTCCCGACTTCTGGTGGGCCCGGAAGGCCCAAAAATCAGGTGGCCGACACATGCATGCACGCTGGAGCTGAGCTAGGGCAATACTCGCGTGCCCACAGATATGGTTCCATGTGCCACCTGTGGCACATGTGCCATAGGTTCACCATCACGGGTGTAGGGTTTCCTGCTCGAGCAGGAGGTTGGACTAGAAGACCTCCAAGGTCCCTTCCAGCTCTGTTATTCTTAAAGTGGCTAAGGTTGGGTAATCCTAGCTTAGGGCCTCCCTACGTCAGCCCTGAATGCAAATACTAATGGGTTTGGCGCAATGCCATCCTTGCACCCGTGCCAACATGGTTGGCTGGCGGGCCAAACCGCAGGATTTCCGATAAGCGCCGTGTCTCGGTTTACCTGCCTTGACTTCAGCCTCTCTGAGTGAAGATCCAACCCGATAACACCTCCAGAACCCCATTTCATATCTGGCTGCTCTAATTCAGAGCTGCCTATCCTGACAAGGACTTCTGTGCCTCAGTTTCTCTCTTTTTCTCTTTTATTGCCAAGGTTGGAAAGAGGGATGCGTTTTTAGCAGCTCCCTAAGAGAGGGACTGCTGTTTCTGGGCTCATATGGCAGTCATGCGTTCTCAAGACAAAATTTTAAATTAAGGCAATGCGCTCAGCATGTCAATTACCTTGTATTTCCTTAACTGGGATATTTATCTTTCTGGGATCACAAAGCAGATTCTGTTTCTTGTCTCCCTTCCCTTCCCCTCCCTTCCTTTCCCTTCCTTCTTTCCTTTCCTTCCTCCCTCCCTCTCTCCCTTCCTTCCGCGTTTTAGTCATTGCTCTGTTTTCTGGGTTTATTTAAAAAGGTGTGCCTTTCCTTTCCTTTCCTTTCTTTTCCTTTCCTTTCCTCTTTCCTTTCCTTCCCTTCCTTCCCCTCCCTTTTCTTTCCTTTCCTTTCCTCCCTCCCTCCCTCCCTTTTTCCTTATTTTAGTCATTGCTCTATTTTCTGGGTTTATTTAAAAAGGGTTCCTTTCCTTTCCTTTCCTTTCCTTTCCTTTCCTTTCCTTTCCTTTCCTTTCCTTCCCTTCCTTCACCTCCCTTTCCTTTCCTTTCCTTTCCTTTCCTTTCCTCCCCTCCCTTTCCTTTCCTTCCCTTCCTTCACCTCCCTTTCCTTTCCTTTCCTTCCCTTCCCTTCCTTCCCCTCCCTTCCCTTTCCTTTTCTTTCCTTTTTCCTTTCCTTTCCTTCCTCCCCCCCTCCCTCCTTCCTTATTTTAGTCATTGCTCTATTTTCTGGGTTTATTTAAAAAGGTGTTCCTTTCCTTTCCTTTCCTTCCTTTCCTTTCCTTTCCTTTCCTTTCCTTTCCTTTCCTTCCCTTCCCTTCCCTTCCCTTCCTTCCCCTCCCTTTCCTTTCCTTTCTTTCCTTCCCTTCCCTTCCTTCCCCTCCCTTTCCTTTCCTTTCCTTCCTCCCTCTCTCCTTCCTTCCCCTCCCCTCCCCTCCCTTTCCTTTCCTTCCTCCCTCTCTCCTTCCTTATTTTAGTCGTTGCTATTTTCTGGGTTCATTTAAAAAGGTGTCCATTTGTCTGAAGTGGCGTAGGGTTTCCTGCCCGGTTAGGGGGTTGGACTAGAAGACCTCCAAGGTCCCTTCCAACTCTGTTATTCTATTCTATTCTATTCTATTCTATTCTATTCTATTCTATTCTATTCTATTCTATTCTATTCTATTCTATTCTATTCTATTCTATTCTATTCTATTCTATTCTACCAGTTCTACCACCTCTGGTCTGCCGCTAAACTGCAGGGATTTCTTTTCAGCCTCACGCAAACGTACGCGACACTAAAAGGAAGAAAAAAGCGGAGCAAAAACGCTCCACGTTCCACCCATAAAAAAATTCACCCAAATTCCCCTTTTCCTTAGAGGGGGTGGAGGGGGAAAAAAATCTCATAAAAGCAGATGGGCTTTGATGAAACCGAAGGAGGTAGGGAAGAAAACGCCTGAGCCAGCACTGAGGCCCAGCCTCCCGCTTTCCAATTATCTGCATTTTTCCCTCAGAAGACCTCGTAAAAGGCGAGCATTTATAATTCATGGGAGCCTCGGCAAGCAGGCCTTCGGCAGGATTAGTCGGTATAAATTTCAAGGGAAGAAAAAAAAAAAGAACCTGGACGCTTGTTAAGGAAGGAGTCAAGAAACCTTAAAGAAGAAGAAGAATATGGAATAACAAGAGTCGGGAGGGTCCTCAGAGGTCATCTAGTCTAACCCCCTACTCAAGCAGCAGACCCTCTACCATTCCAGACAAATGGCTCTCTTCTTAAAAACACTTCGGTGGTCGGCAAGATGTCCAGCCGCTGCCCTATAGATCGGCCACG